TCCTCCGTAAGTCCTCTGCCTCATTCTGTACCACTGTTCTCAAGTGCAAACATCCTCATCCTAGGTCAGTCCTCCAACAGGGGACATGATTCAAAATTTCCTAACAATATTCCAAAAAAAGAAGGGAGAGAATTAGGAGGCCCACACTTTCACAGTACAAAAAGAGAAAGCATATCTACTTAAATCCAAGTATTTCAGAATACCTGCCCTGTGGGTGTCATAAGAGAACACTCTCACATAGCACATGAACCTGCCCCTGCCTGGCCAGACCCAACTCAAACACAACAGCGGGTTCACAGGACAGTCAAGGCACCAGCACTATATAGAAATGGATGAGTACCACTCTGGGAAGCATAAGAGCCATTTCCAGACCAGGTCTGCCAACCAGCTATGTGACAATGGAAAATAACTGTAAAATGGCAGTGTTATTGAGCATATACAGCCAGTGTCCCGAGCCACAGGGTGCACAGAACCGTATCATCAAGTCCCTACTCTCACCAGTCCAGAGGAGACTTGGATACAAGATCTCTTCAAATGTGACTTCCCCTCACATCTAATGAATCTGTGCACCATGTCCTTGGTAAACAACCAATCACTGCATTTGTAAGAGACTCGAGATACTTTGGAAATCTTCCTACCGAAGTATTTAATCCTATGGGGCCACAGTGATCCCATCAGTGAGCATATCCAGGTTTACATCACATCTGACTTCAAGATTCACACCCACCACCCACCCCCACCCCCACCCCCCACCCCATGGTGCTCAGCGTCTGTACAGAGAAGAGTTTCTGGACTTAGAGTTCAGTGGGAGCCCTTTATGAACTACCATCATGGTACACACTTGGGTTGCATATGGTCTAGTAATACACCAGTCCTGGGACCTTCCTGTTAATCACTTTCTCCTGAGAATGTCTGATAAAACTTTCCCTTGATGAGAAAATTCCACTCCACTATTATAGAAAAGTCCTTTGACCTGTCTGTATTCCCAGCCCACTTGGTCAGCAGATTCTTGCATCACAGACAGTTTTTCAGCAGCACATCTGATTTATTCTGTCAGTGCTTCTCGGTCGTGAGCATCATTGACCTGTTGTGTACCTGAGGCCCCTCCCCTGGGATCCAGTACCAGCCCCATCTTGTAGGGATGAACAAAAATAATAGTGATAACAGAGTAATATTTAATGTTTGTCCTTTCTCAGGAAATTGTCCTCAGCCTGTAAATCAAAAAGCACTTTATTGTTCTTTCTTCTGCCCACCTTTTCACCTTCAGCCCACCCTTTCTGAAACAACAGTCTTCTCATCTGGTCTTATTAACCCTTGGCTAAAAAAGCAAAATTTTTTTTACGTGATTGATGTTTTGAGAATCAATCTGGAGCTTTGCATGACAGGAATAAATAAAAAGACAAATTGCCAAGTGCTTTGGTTGTCACAGCAGGGACTCCTATCATGCCATCAGCTTTCTTGTCCCCAAATGTGTGAACTGCCTGAAAGACCAAGGTAATTGAAAAGCATGCATATACCTCTGGTTTCTCAGATATTAGGAGGAAATTGCCTCCTACTGCGGTTGCTTTCTGGCTCAGTGTTCTGAAAGAGAACAGGTCATTCCATTTCTAGCTGAAGTATTGAATCCATTTTAACTAGTCCATCAAGAAGAAAAGTCCTGGTACGCTGGTAGGTAGCAGGATTAATGTGGTGGCTCAGTTCTGCTACTCCTGTACTAAGGATGCTCCAGTCTTTTTTTTTTCCCCCTCTCTCTCTCTCCCTCCCTCTCTCTCTCTCCCCCTCTCTCTTCTTTTCATTTCTCTTCTCTCCTCTTGTGTCTCCTCCTCCTATCCTACCTCAGACAAAGAAAGAGTCATGGATACACTTGAAAGCCCTAAGTATATAGGATCTTCATTTATGTTTACGTTTATGATGACCACCTTCACTAGCTATTACGCCCATCTTACAAATAATCCAAATGCCTGTGGTAGGTCAGTATGTGTGCGGGTATGAGGGTGTAAGAAATATTGGTAGTACAGAAAAAATATAGAGCAAATGATAAATTGTGGGGTTGGTCCAAAAATATTGATAAATATACATACCTTAACCAAAAGCAAAAATAATTAACAGTCTCTGGTGAAGCTGTTTCAGGAAACACTGAGAAAACCAGCTGCTCAGCACCTGCTGCTCTGAACCACTACTCACCAACAGGATGGGCTCGCAAGTCCCATGGGAAGCTGAGATTAGCCATGACCTGCCCAGCTGAGGTGAGGGTTGGTGGGGGTTTCAATCCCAGTCACCTGGCTTGTTGTTAGAAAACTCAGAGTTCCAGGGGACATTTGTCAGACATCCCCCTTGCCATTCTGCATCCCCACCATACCCCACCTGAATACCAAGAGCCTTCCCTCTGTTTCAGGGGGATTACAGCCGTCCTGGACTGTTGCTGCTGGGAGGGAAGTTCCAAACAGAGCAGTTAGGATGGGGCTCATTAAATCTCAGGGCATTGATAAACAGCACTTCGGTTGGTCAATTGTTAGGAAATGTGTGGAGTGTCGCAAGAAGACCCAGTCCAGTGCAATTAGGAGACCTTCCAAAGTAGCTTCTCTGCCCAGGTGACTCACAGGGTCCACTGAAATTGTGAGTGATGGCCGGTAGGATGTGACTGGGCTCCCATGGAGCTCCCTGCAGCTAGTTAATGCCGAGCCGATTCCCTCCTCTCCCTCTGTCCCCCAGTAGGTGCAGACAGCTTCCACTTCAGCATGTTCTGCCTTCTCCTCCAAGGCTAGATCCCAGCCTGGTGCCCCTCGCCTGGTCTGAGGCAGAGGGAGGGGCAGACAAGGGCATTCTCCCACTGTCTCCGTTTGCCTTGCGTCAGTTTTCATGACATAAACAGTCCTTCCAGCTTTCCTAAAGCCTTCTCCTTAGATGTTCAGGAACTCATTTTGGAAATCTCAAAGATTTTTAATGCTGTAAGTTACTTTCTTCCTGCAGCCCTGCTGCCATGATCCTAATTCTCTCATAGACAATTGTGAATGTCTCTGTCCAATTAGAGAGAAAGCCAAGGATAAGGATGTACAGAAAAGGAAAAAAACATGAAATTTAGTATTTCAAGACAGCATCTCTGTCCAGTCTCATTCACTGGTCCCTGTTTAGCCACCAGTTATTCACTCATCCAGGATAGACCTGGAGGATATTATGCTAAATGAAATAAGCCAGACACAAAAAGATAAATACAGCATGATCTCACTTTATACAAGGTATCTAAAACAGTCAAACTCATGGAAACAGAGAGTAGAATGGTGGTTGCCTAGGGATAGGGGCAGGGAAAATGGGGAGGTGATGGTCAAAGTATATCAAGTTTCAGTTATACAAGATAAATGAGTTCTAGAGACCTCCTATACAACACAATGCCTATAGCTAAAAATGTTGTAATGCATATTTAAATTTTTCTAAGAGGAAAGATCTTATGTTAAGTGTTCTTTCTGTTCTTATCATGATAATAATAATAATTACAATGGGGGTGGGAGAGAACTTTGGGAGGTGATAGATATGTTTATGGTCTTGATGGTGGTGATGTTTTCACACGTATGCATGCGCGAATGCTAAGTTGCTTCAGTCATGTCTGACTGTTTGGACTGTAGCCCACTGGGCTCCTCTGTCCATGGGATTCTCCAGGCAAGAATACTGGAGTGGGTTGCCATGCCCTCCTCCCAGGGATCTTCCTTACCCAGGGATCAAACCCATATCTCTTATGTCTCCTGCATTGGCAGGTGGGCTCTTTACCACTAGCACTACCTAGGAAGTTTCTCACAGATATATACTTATCCCCAAACTCATGTACAGTTCTTTACATGTCAATCATACCTCAATAAAGTAATTTAAAATGTTTTAAATATAAAAAAGAGCACATTAGCCATTCTTCATGGCAAGATTCTTTAAAATTAAACATAACACAGATTTTTTTTAAATTCCAAAGAATGGTATCTTTAATGAGCTTTTAAATCATTGTCACTTAAAGTTTTATTAAAATGTATCAGAAAATACAGATATTATTTGTATATAAACACATATTTTAAATCCCATTGAAGCCCACACATTTAACCTCCTACAGCTGCTAGTTTGTTTTGATGAAAGATGAATAGGGGATAAATAGAAAGCTAATGCTTCAAACGGGTCTACCTGTAGAGTGCCTGGAAGAATCTAGGTGTGTATCCATATTAAAGAACACTCTTCACCCAAATATGCAATCACTCAATAGCTCAAGGATAAATGATGTTTCCTACCAAAAAAGAGAGAGAGAGAGAGAGAGGAGGAAGGCAAATTGCAGATCTTGAATTTGGCACATACTCAAGAAAAGCTCCAGAGAGAAGCCTGAATCATATTTGTTCTCAGACAAGAAGGTAGAAGGCGCTCCTGTGGCCATCACGTAATGGATTCCACTTTGATGATGGGTGGTTCAACCCTCTGGTAAGATTAGGGATCTCCAGGTGTCCTGCCTGGGTCAACAGGGTGAAGCCTGGGATTACCGTTTGGGATGGAATAATTGGATCCATCTTCCTCCACTCCAGGTCCCCTTTGTATTCGGTTTCACTGACTGAAGCCAGCCTCTCTAATCTTTATGTTTTCCTAATCAATTTGTAGAATGTATTCTGGCTCATGAGCGGAGTCAATCATACTTAAAAGAATCACAGAGCTTTGAAATTTCTCTAGTCTAACACTCTAATTTTCAGATTAAAAAAAAAAAAGGCAAGGTCCAGAGAAGTGCAAAACATCTGCAAAGGTTCAATATCCTTCAGCCTGACCTTTTTCCGAAAGAGAAGAGAAAGAAGATCTGAAGTCAGGTTTGGGAGGACAGAGGACTGTGGGATTATGCAGGGGTACGAGCTGGAGGAAGGGGACACGGAGCGGGAGGAGAAAGAATGGGCCTTCGTGCTGGGAAGCCGTCTACAGCGCGCCTGGGCAGAGCTTTAGTTCAGCCACAGCGCCTGCGGGACGGCGAGCCGGCCCTCGGGCGCCCGGAACTACGCGGCCTCGGCGGCGCAGGGCCGGATGCTGCTGACGGAGATGCTCAGTCCCCTGCACCTCAGGACGCCGGCCTCGCACTCCGTCATCGTCTGCTCCCTGCCGTTCACCTCCACGCAGACGCTGAATCCTGCTTCCTCGCACTCCGAGGCGGCTCTGCAAACACATTCGCTGCCCTCGGCTGGAAAAAGAAGCGAGAGAGGCTTTTTGGCACCTGGTGGAAGTGGGGGAGGCCTGGCGCATCCCCTCTAAAGTTATGCAAGTGGTGACTGGAGAGCTACGGGCCACCCACTCCCTGCCCCGCCCCTGGTGGCTCCGACGGTAAAGAATCTGCCTGTAATGCAGGAGACCCGGGTTCAATCCCTGGGTCAGGAAGATGCCCTGGAGCAGGGAATGGCAACCTGCTCCAGTATGCAGGACCGGGCAAGGGAGGCATTTTGCTCCAGAGTAAGCAGGTTCTGAGGCTGGTGCCAGGCTTCCTGTCGACTGGACGCCCGTGGGCCGGTTCTTTCCTTCAGGTGCTGCCCAGAGGGTCCCCAAACATGATGTGACCCCTCAACACCCAGACCGAAGGTGGAGACCTCAGCGAAGAGCTAGGCGGCAAGCCTCAAACAGAGGGAGACAAAGAAAAGGAGAATTAACTTGCTTTGAGAGGCCCTGAAACCCGAAAGGCCTCATACCCCATAAAGACCAAACAGAAACGAGTGGGAAGGAAAGGGGTGTGGGCACTGAAGGGGCGAGGCTGGAATACAGCGGCCAGGCATCCCCCGAAGGAGGATAACCAGGTCGGCCTGCAGACTGTGGTGACTGCCAAGCCGAAAGTGATGCAGACGTGCCCATGGAGTTGGGTGTGCCACCGTCTCTGCTGCAGACGCGACAGGAGTGAGGGGAGAGGTGTCCGGGGGTACCAGCCAGGAGCGGGAGGCCCTGAGGAGCTGGTAGAGACCTTACCGATCCAGAAAGCACCATTAGGCTCCCAGATTTATAGATGGGGAAACTGAGGACCGTGACCTGGCTTGGGCAGCTCAGCTCTCCCCCGTCAGAGGTGGGACCCCTGGTGGTGGTTGTCAAGACCACTGTTAAGTGCTACCAGAACACCAGGACAGAAGGCCAGCAAGTGGTACCTCTTCTTCCATCACATCCTTCTGATTGCTTCTAGAAGAACGTGTCAGCCTGGCACTGGTGTGCTTCCAACATGCCCCTTTGTTATTGCTAGCTTGCTAGGTCGTGTCTGACTCTTTGCAACCCCATGGACCGTAGTCGCCAGGATCCTCTGTCCATGGGATTCTCCAGGCAAGAATACTGAAATGGGTTGCCATGCCCTCCTCCAGCGGATCTTCCCAACCCAGGGATCGAACCCTTGTCTCTTGCATTGCAGGCAGATTCTTTACCACTGAGCCACCTGGGAACACATTTTTATGGTTATCTAATATTTATGGTAAGTGATATTTCCTATTAAGGATGTGCTATTAAAAACTATTTTTATGTGAGCCTGTTTCCTTTTTTAATGAGTACATAATGTGGGTAATACAAGGACAGAGCACAAATCATGGGGGTGGAATGTGATCTTTGGGAGGACATTCAGACTAGCAGGGCTTCCCTGGTGGCTCAGACTAACAACTCCACCTACAATGCAGGCACCCTGGGTTCAATCCCTGGGTCAGGAAGATCCCCTGTAGAAGGAAATGGCAACCCACTCCAGCATTCTTGCCTGGAGAATTCCGCGGACAGAGGAACCTGGCGGGCTACCATCCACAGGGTCTCAAAGAGTCGGACACGATTGAGTGACCCAACAATTTCAGACTACCAGGAAGGATTCTTCATCCACCACTCCCCCTCCCCAGGGAAGGCAGGGGGGGAGGATCGTGGGGGTAGCAGGAGACTGGGGTTCGATCCCTGGGTCAGGAAGATCCCCTGCAGAAGGGAATGGCTACCCGCTCAAGTATGCAGGACCGGGCAAAGGAGGCATTTCGCTCCAGAGTAAGCAGGTTCTAAGCCTGATGCCAGGCTTCACACTCAGACCAGTCTGAGTCTTTGACATACTTAGGGATGTGCTTTCATCTGTTGCTAAAATAGCAAACTACATTTTTTTAAACTTCACTCCTACTACTGAAGTACTTTTATAATCACAAATATGAAATGTCCCTTACCGTCACATTTTTCCCATAGTGGACACACACCACAAGCTTTTTCAGCTGGGGCAGGCAGAATGCAGCTCTCCCTACCAGCCACAGTGTAATTTCTACCCTGGCACCGGAGAACGTGCATCTTGCAAACGGTCAGAGGCAGTATCCTTTTGCTTCTCTCATCTCGAGCACATACATCCAAGGAGGACCTGAAACAAAATTTTTTAATTACTTCCTTTACAAAATTTTCTTTCCTCAAGGCTGAGAATGAGAAGTGAAAGGTGAGGCTGTGGGCTCAGTGCCTCAGATGTTGTCTCCCACAGCCAAATGAGGGGACAGCAACTCAAATCCCCCACATTGCTAGGGCCCAATCCCCTACAGTCTTCAAAATGAACTTATTTTGCTCTTTATTTGCTCACAAGTTTTATAATCTTAGATATCTGGTGTCGATCTAGTTTCATTTAGAACGGATCAGATACAGCAAATTAAAAGAGAAGGCAATGGTCTGTTAGCAACAGCTGGTAGATTGATGACAAAGGAGGAGACAGAAAGTTAGCAAAGATCACCGGAGGAGGGTATGGCAACCCACTCCAGTATTCTTGCCTGGAGAATGCTATAGGCAGAGAAACCTGGCGGGCTGCAGTCCACAGAGTGGCAGAGAGTCAGACACAACTGAAGCGACTTAGCACACACGCACAGACTCAGAGGGACCGAAGTCAAATGCGACCATGTATGCCTACGGCTGATTCATGTTGAGGTTTGACAGAAAACAACTAAATTCTGTAAAGCAATTATCCTTCAATTAAAAAAATAAATAAATTTTGAAAAAATGGGACCACTAACTGCAGAAGAAAGCAGCTCTTCCCAGCCCAGCAGCCCTGAGAATTCACGTCCACATGATAGCATTATCCCCAGCCGATGACTAAATTCTCAAGGGAAGATGAATTCTATTTTTCAATGCTATTTTTAGAGTATCTATGTTTACAAAATAGTTTAGAAATATTTCCTTGAAATGTGTTACTTTTTTTTCTTATTCATTGGTGCTAAAATAGCGCCAGTATTTGAAATGTCACTAATAAAAACAACCACATATCTGAATACTGATGGGTAAGAATGCCATTACTGTAGTGAAACCTTAGACAACAAAAGGCATTTTTGAATAACAGACAGAATCTATATTTACTTACATATATTTAGCTCTGTTTTCTTCTCTAACCAAGAGCTAAATTTGTTTGGACAAAGAAATACAGAAATACATAACAGAAACAAATCCTTGTATCTTTTTTTTAACCTGTCTATTTAAACTTTAAATAGAAGGGCTCAGAACAGCTTAAAGGGCAAAGACCTTACAAGCTACCTCCCTTGTTATCCGCGTACATTCAGTCGCTCAGTTGTGTCTGACTCTTTGCAGAGGAGCCCAGAGGACAGGCCTGTCTGTCCGTGGAATTTTCCAGGCAAGAATACTTGAGCAGATTGCCATTTCCTACTCCAGGGGATCTTGCCCACCCAGGGATCAAACTCATGTCTCTTGCGTCTCCTGCATTGGCAGGTGGATTCTTTACCACTTGGGCCATCTGGGAAGCCCATATCTGACATTAGAACTCTTACCATGTATATAAACAACAGGCTGCAGATAAACTCAATGAAGCAAAGAAGTTGAAAAGAAGACAAAGGTGAATCAAAGTAAACAATGATTAATAGAGAATAACAGCACAGTCAGAAGATTCTGGGCTGACCTTTTTTGTGTGTTTGTCTGCTTTTTCTCCTTTTTCTTTTTTTGCCATTTCCATTTATGTTATTCAGCTGTATATTCTCTTTCATACAAGAAGTTACTTCTTATAGGATACCCCTTAGTCATCACTACCCAATGTAGGTGTTCAAGGAGTTTGATATGTGTCTTGATGACCATACTAACTGAAAGCCAAGCAATTGGCCAATAAATTTGTGTTTTGATGCTTAACCTTAGAGATTAAGAGATTTTGATTCTTAACCTTAGAGACTAAGTCCTAGGGACTGGATGTTGCCCATTTGCCTCTCCAGATTCACCCTCCTCTCCTGGGAATCTGAAGTGTATGAACCACATCAATAGACTTCCTTGTCCTCTAGCTTCAGGGGTGTTTGATCATTGTGGGGTTCTGACCGAAAAGGAGGGAGGAAAGAGTACAGTTGGGGTGTTTATCCCCCTGGCTCACTCCTAGGCATCTCTGAAGCCCCTAAAATGAGAGACTCAATTCCTCCTCAACTAACCCTCTGTCAACAGGTTTTCATAAATGCTTCTCTCTTACAACTTCTGACTTAGGCATGGAAAAAAATGTAAACCAATTCAGTTCAGCTTCTACCCGTTCAGGAATACTGCGCTGTGGTGTGCAGTTTTCTTCACTCGACCCATTTCTGTAAATAGTCCCACCAATAAACCTCCTCTTGTCCTAATTTAATCATGCCATCTGTATCCAACATGTAGTAATTACTTCAGCTATATTTCTACAATGGAGTGATTTCAAGTGGGATGGTGTTCTTGGAATGCAAATCTAGAAACATATTTCAAGAATTAGAAAAGCAGCTGCTTTCTTCTCTGTTGGTACTGCTTTAAGAGTGTATGTCTTTGGGACTTCCCTGGTAGCTCAGTGGTAAAGAATCAGCCTGCCAATGCAAGAGAGACAGGTTCAATCTCCAATCCAGGAAGATCCCACATGCTATGCATAACTAAGCCCATGCATCACAACTATTGAGCTTGTGCTCTAGAGTCTGGGAGCCGAAACTGCTGAGCCTGTGTGCCCTAAAGGTCATGCTCTGCAACAAGAGAAGCCTTGGCAAAGAGCAACGCGTACACCGCAACTAGAGAGGAGCCCCCGCTTGCAGCAAGGAAGACCCAGCACAGCCAAAAATAAATAAATAAAACTATTAAAAAAAAAAAGTTTATGTCTCAAGGGAATTTCAGCCCTAATCTCCCCAAACTCTAAATCCTCAGGTGAGGGTTCTGTCATTTTGTCCCATTTTATATAGAAAACAAGCAGCCTCAAGCAATCTTTCATTCTCACCAGCCAGACTAGAACACTGCCTGACACCACCAATGGTCAGCCCTGGTGATCCAGGCAAAACCAAGCAGCAAATGGACTGGATTGAAATGCAAAGGGCCTTGATCCTTGGTCAGTAACACCTTTGATCCAACAGAGACTAGCATCTAAGAAATCATTCAATCTATTTTCAATAAAATAAAACAGAGAAGAAAACAGAGCTTACCCACATTCATAGGGCATTTTACAAACACATCTTGAATTCTTTAGTTTCTCCCAGGGCTGACATTCAGGCACTTTCGGTGTCAAAGGCGCTTCTAAAAGAAAAGAATAATGGAGATGTGACCATTAGGAGAAGAGCTTCTTTGTAGTAAACAAGGATTATTTCAATTGTTGAACCAGGCAACAAATTCTTATAATCAATAAATTAATAAAGTTATAAAGCATTTTACAAGAGATACAGCGACACAGACCCAACAAAAAATATCTTTGGTCATAATAGCCACAATTTCTTGAGCACTGAGTGTTGGTCCTGCCCTTTTTATATGATATTAATTCTCCTTAATAAATTGCCATTTAAGAGAGATGAGGAAACAAAGAGTCAGAAAAGTTAAGAAATTCCTGCTAGTTAACAAATTGGCCAAGCCAGGATTTAAGTCCATGTTTGTCTGAAGTCCCACGGTATAGACTCCCTTTCTTCAAAAAGGTGGAGTTTAAAATATCATATTAAGAGTGTAGCACTGAAACATAAACATTACATATGTAAAATAGATAGCTAGCGGGAATTTGCCATATGATGCAGGTAGCTCAACCCGGTGCTCTGTGACAATCCAGAGGTATGGGATGGTGTGGGGAGTGGGAAGGAAGTTCAAGGGGAGGGGACATATACATACTTATGGCTGAATCACATTTTTTGTATAGCAGAAACCAATACATTGTAAAGCAATTATCCTCCAATTAAAAATTTTAAAAACGAAGGTGGGTTTTAAAATCCATGTGTTTATTTGGGTATGTTTTGCCTACTGTGCCTATCACAAGACAAAGAGCAGACCATAACCTGACCTGTACAAGAAGAACTCTCATTATCTCAAGGATGACTATAATAATCTCCTACATGTAAATGTCCAAGTGGTCTCCCCTCAACAGTGAGTAAATGCCTGGAGGTATTCACATCGATAAAATCCTTTCCTTCATGTTTTCTACAAACTGATAGAAAGCCAATTACCATTCCAGTTTTGTCAGGGAAACACCTTGGTCCAACTTGCAAGAGCTTAATTTGCCATGGCCACAGCTAGGCCTGACTACAAAGGGAACAGTGTACACCACCTTGCCATTTCCACTTCCTGGCAGCTCCATTACAATGGAATTCTGTGGCATATAGTTTTTCATCATCAAACTAGTTACCTGTTAGATATACCTATAAAGGTCATTTGTCTGATGGTCATGTTTTTATGGATGCACAAACTGTAGAATGTTTCCTTACTTCTGGAAAACTTAGGAGCTTTAGACATGACAGGAAAATCTCATGAACAAGGAAGTCATAAACATAAAAATGGTAGCAAGGTGAAGTATGTCTGTCATGTCCAGCATTGTCTGTAGCAAGTATTTATTCTTTAAGCAGTTTTCTTTAAGATGGAATTATCTTAAATGCCATGCAGTATCCTGAATTGGATCCCAGACCATGAAAATGACATCCGTGGAAAAATGTGATGAATGAAGAGTCTGTAGTTTAGTTGACAGTGTTGTACTAGTTAATATTAATGCCTTGGTTTTGACCAACTAAAATATGTCAAGGTATGTGAGATGTTAATAGTATGGGAAGATGGGTAAAGGGTATATGGAAACTATACTTGCAACTTTTCTGAAATCTTAAATGGATTCCAAAATAAAATGCTTTAATGGTATTAGTTAGATCAATGCTTCTCAACCAGGGACAGTTTTGCTCCCCAGGGGACATTGGGCAATGTCAAGAGGCATTTTCAGTTGTAACCCCTGTGAGATAGCAGAGACCAGGGATTCTGCCAAACATGTTACAATACATAGGACAGGCTCCCACAACAAAGAATTATCAGGTCCCAAAATTCCAATAGTGTCAGGGTTGAGAAAGTCTGATCTAAATGTACCCAAGCTGAAGTTCAATGATTAAGCTGTGTAAATGAATTCTGCATTATTATTAGAAGCTTTTTTGCTAATCATTCTTAAGGATGGAATTTTAGATTTTACATATTTTCTAAAAGTTCTCGTAACTGCTTTGTGAAAAATCGCTTGTGGAATTACCCAGACAAGAGACTTGCATGTAGAAAGAACATGGCTTTGTCATCTTCATAGCTTAATTAACCAAATAAACCCACTCTTAGGGCCCACCTACAGAATGTACCTTCACTATTTTAAAATCAAATATCTTCACATCAAGGGTAAATACCACTGGGGGTGGAGATAAATGAGAGACAAGTGTTTAATGGGTAGAGTTTCAGTTTAGGAAGATGGAATGTTGGATGACAGTGATGGTTGAACAATAATGGGAATGTATTTAATGTTACTGAATTGCACATTTTTAAATGGTTAAAATGGTAAATGTTGTGTGTATTTTACTACAATTTAAAAAAAAAGACTACTTAAACAGCAGGTATTTTAAAACTCTGGAGGCTAACAAACCTGGCCTTTTTTTGTTTGCTATAGGCTTATTTTAAGGGTAGTTATTATTGTTATCCACATCTTTCAAAAAATACACAGGTTTGGAAAACATCCTTAATTAAAGCCTTAATAGAATTTGCTGAGGGGGAGAAAATTCATACCAAATTGTGCTATAAAGTGACTGAAAAAGACATTTCAGAAAGAAAAAAGTATATAATCTCATTTAGAGGAAAAGAGAAACCTCATCAACTGTACATTGTTCTCTTTAATTTTAGCACTGTTGGTACAGGTCCCTTACTTTATCCCAAATAAATCGCAGTTATGCTTCAGTGCGTGTGGAAAACAAAGCTGTCATCTCTGCTGGGTCCTCTGACAGCCACAGAGCATGTGGGATGGGCATGGAGGCCATTCCACTGAACATGCTGCCCTCCTGTTGTCCTCTATTTAATACCACAGCCCAGGTCTCCCATCAGCCATAGAACCCTCCAGGCAACCTACTCTCTTTTCAGTTGTGCATATCTAATCTACCCAATATCATTACTCATGGAATCAACTACTTCATCTTCACCATAGATGACAAACTTCAAACTGAAAGTTGCTCAGTCGTGTCTGACTCTTTGCAACCCCACGGACTATAGCCCACCAGGCTCCTCTGTCCATGGTATTCTCCAAGCAAGAAGATTGGAGTGAGTTGCCATTCCCTTCTCCATGGGATTTTCCCGATCCAGGGATTGAACAGAACTCTGCGTTGCCAGGCGGACTCTTTATCATCTGCGTCCATGGAATATTATTATTACTTATGGAATCAACTATTTCATCTTTGCCATAGAAGACAAACTTCAACACTGAATTAAAATCATGTACTCATGTACAGCAAAAACCAATACAACATTGTAAAGCAATTATCCTCCAATTTAAAAAAATTTTAAATCATATACTCAAGAAATAATATCATATAAAATAGAATGCAAGTATGATTTCTTCCTTGTTTTTAACCGTTGCAAGCATAATATTTTCCATTTATTAGAGTGAAAGTCACTCAATTGTGTCCGACTCTTTGTGACTCCACACAGTCCATGGAATTCTCCAGGCAAGAATACTGGAGTGGGTAGCAGTTCCCTTCTCCAGGGGGTCTTCCCAACCTAGAGATTGAACCCAGGTCTCCCACACTGCAAGCAGATTATTTACCAGCTGAGCCACCAGGGAAGTCAATTTATTAGAAAATGTAAACAAAAAAGAAAGAGGAGTTTATTTTGAAAACAAATCCAACCCATCTTAAGTATCTCTGAAAAGAAATAGTTTGGACCATTTTATACAAGTGGATTTATTTACAAATCAGAAATGGAATTAGAGATGTAGAAAACAAACCTATGGTTACCAGAAGGTAAGAGGGGAAGAGTTAAATTGGGAGGTTGGGACGGACATATACACATTACAATATATAAAATAGGTACTAATAAGGACTTACTGTATAGTACACAAACTCCACTCAATACTCTATAAAGGCCTACATGGGCAAAGAATCTAAAAAAAAGTGGATACATGTATATGTATATTCATTTTGTTGTACACCTAACACAACATTATAAATCAACTATACTCCAATAAAAATTAAAAATATTTTAAAAGGCCATTTTAATTTGCCATGTGTTCAAAATATTGGCTATCTGGATTTCTACTATTAAGAATAATTTCACAAACCACAATACTTTTCCTTTCATAACTTCTGCTTTGCAGGCTTAAATGTAAATGCTTTTAAATATTCAATTTCAATAACACTAATAAACTGTAAGAGCCCAAAAATGAAATAGGCAGAATTTTATATAAATTGTGGTCTCAACTCTGTATTTCATAAAAGTACATTTTTGAAAAGCCAGGAGGAAGCCAGAAATCAGCTTTTAGAAATTCTTTGTTTTCTTGGTATCCTACAAATATAAAGCTAATCATGGATATGAAGGATTTAAGTCAAAATTTGAGAATCACCTGAGCTATTCTTGCCTTTCCTTGAATTCTGTAAGTCTATGTGTTATGTGCAAAAAAGTCTAGTTAGCCAGTCTACACCTCATTCTCATAGTGCGGTCTGGATGGAGGGAATGATTCCATTGCAGCAGGTTAGTGCCTTGAAGAACGGCCACAGGAACTCTCACTCCCTGAGTCCACGTGTCCTTGGACAGACCCAGGAGCCACTCACCTTTCTGCACACACTGGACATTCTTTATCTCAGGGCTCCACTTAAGGCTGGAACTACAGAGAAATGTCGAAGGACCTTCTAAGGATCTGCCGCCTGAACAGGAAATGGTCACCTTCTCGCCAATAGTGTAGAAAGGTTTGTGGGGATGACTCTGTATGCCATCCATCAATGCAGGCAGAACGCAGGCAATTTCTGAAGAGAAAAGAGAACAGAATACAAGGTTCCTTGCTTTCCTAGACCATCTTTTTCAAAAATGACAGCCCTGAATGGTGCTGATACACATGTTCTGCTTTTTCAAATTAGAGGACAAGGTAGAAGAGGTGAGTTCACTCTTAGGGGGCCCTGAAAGACATGTCCCACCATGCCTGTCATGTAGTGATGTAAACGACTGAAAACCAAAACAGCTCCCACCCTCTCACCCCTGCCCTCAAAGTCATATGACAACTTAAAATGAATAAGCATTATAAGGTCCCCAAGTCCAGCCTGCTGTCAAAACCAGACTTTTCACAGCTGCCATTTCTCTCTCTCATCTGGTGACATCTCACCAAAATTTTCCCAAGAGCCGTGTTCATTTGCATATCATTGCATATATCCAATTAGATACTTTGCTATCTGAAATTTTTAAAGAACCACCTTTAACCTTGCAAACACAAAAGTGTTAAATCTTTCTTGGTTTCCCATTTCTATCTTTCCTTCTTCTATTACAGTTATTAGTTCATATCTTCTACTTAAAAAAAAAAAGGAAAAAAATTAAAAACATGCATAATGGTAGAAAGCAAGTCAGAATTCATGACTTAAAAAAAGAAAACACCTTTCTAGTGGGATTTTGGGCAATATCCTACAAGGTCCTGCTCTATTTCTGCACCATTTTTATCAGAAAATCCATTCATTCACTCATTCAAAATCAGCATTTATTGAGGGCCTACATTTGGCCAAGTATGTTGAATGCTGCTAAGGACACAAAATACTGGTCACATACTCTGCCTTGAAATAGCTAATAATCTAGCATCAGAACTGTTTATTTCTGGCCATGATACATTTGCTGGTTTCACATTAATGCTCCCTCTAAGACATATAGGAAGGCTGTAAAAGTTATAAGAAAAACTATTTCTGAGAGCATCAGAGAACAATCAGAGCAGTGGAAATCCCAAGGTATAAGACTCTAGAAAAAGGAAAGTCTAAAGCAGTGATTACAAAATTTGGTAATGCTTTTGTCCTTGAGGCTATTTGTGAATTTGAAAAAAAAATTTTTTTTTTTTTAATGTGCTGAAGGGCTGCTAAACTAAGGAGAAAGCTGCAGCTCAGAGGCTGAATAGCTGCAGAGAGTTTTTAGCAGTCTCACAGGGCTAGGAGATCAAAAATTACAGTCCAGTCCTGTTACAAAAGAGGAGCCTCAGTAGAAATCCAATACTTTCCCTTATGATCCCTTAATCGTTATAACCTAGGATAAAGATAAACTGGACATAAACCAGCCTTGTTCTTGCCAGAAACAAACCTAACTTTTTTCTAGAGAAGGATAACATCATGCAAAGTCTCAAATTATTTATTTTTTTACAAATAAAATCTGGCATTCAATCAAAGCTAATCTAATATTCAAAAATACAATAGAAACATCTACAGCAGATCCAGGTGATGGGGCTAATAGACATGAACCATGAAATAACTATGATTAGTATGTTGGAAAAAGTTAAATTAGAAGAGGGAGAGTTTCAACAGAGAACTAGAAAGTATAGAAAAGTGGACAAATGGTTTATCTGGAATTGGAAAATGAAATTAAGAATTCAGTAGAGCTCTTGAAAGCAGATTATAACAAGAGGACCTAAAATTAATAAACTAGAATATAGATCAACAGAACATACTTAGAATGAAACAGAAAGAGGAAAATTGATGTAAAGCAAAGAAATATAGGGAATTCGCTCATGGTCCAAGGCTTGAGACTCCGTGCTTTCATTGCCATGGGCCTGGATTTGATCCCTGGTCAGGGAACTAAGGGGCTTCGGCTTCCCTGGTGGCTCAGGTGGTAAAGAATCTGCCTGCAATGTGGGAGATCCAGGTTTGATCCATGGGTCAAGAAGATCCCCTGGAGAAGGGAATGGCAACACACTCCAGTATTCTTGCCTGGAAAATCCCATGGACAGAGGAGCCTAGCAGGCTACAGTCCATGGGGTCATAAACAGTTGAACACAACTGAGTGACTAACATTTTCACTTTCAAGTAACTAAGATCCCAAAATAAGCAAAAAAAGAAAGAAATGTAGCACATACACACATATATATACACGTATGTATATGTGTATACATCGTAAAAAATGTCTCATCTATGTCTCATGAGCAGAGGTGGGCAAGAATTAGACTGCAATATTTAAAAACAAAGGTGAATAATTTTTTAAAATTGACAAAAGACATTAAAGGATAGGTTAAAAACTGCCTTGAAGATCAACCAGGACAAAGAAAATCACACTTAGGCATATCAGAGTAGAGTTGCTTCTAAAAAAAAAAAATTCTTAGAAACATCTAGACCAAAACTGTATATTATTTCCAAAGGAGAAACAACAATCCTGAAAGTTGACTTCTTACTAGAAAATAATGAAGTCAGAACGCAATGTAAAAAAATCTTTAAAGGGTTTAAAGACAATAACTGCTAACCTAGAATTCCTTACCCAGTAAAAATATCCTTCAAAAGTAAAGATAAAACAAGAATGTTTCAGATGAACAAAGAGTGGGACAATTCCTCACCAGCAGACACACAATAAAGAAAAAGGAGCTCTTCAAGCAAAGTAATCTTTTCAAAGAATCAACTTTTAGCTTTATTACTCCTAGCTAGGGAATATTGATTAATACATTCTATTCAGTAATATTGATATCCTATTTCTTCTGAAAAACTCTAGGGTGGAGAGACAGAGAGACGGAGACAAAGAAAACAGGAGACTTTCCAAGTCATTAAGAAAAAGGCTAACAAACCACCAGAAAAAAATGCCCAAAAGATTAGATAGCCACTTCATCATAAAAAGTATCCAAATGGCAATAAACATATGAAAACAGGCTTAACAACATTAGTCATCAGAAGAAATACAAATTAAAAAACAAGATACTGCTACACACTCACAATTATGGCTAAAAAAATTTTTTAAAGATGGATGTTATCAAGTCTAACATCTGTATCGCAGAGCAATCTTGACTTCTTGGATTCTGTCCAAGACGTAAATTGGTACAACCACTTGGGAAACTGGTGTGGTGGTTTAGTCCCTAAGTCATGTCCAACTCTTGCAACCCCATGGACTGTAGTCTGCCAGGATCCTGTATCCACAGGATATCCCAGGCAAGAATACTGGAGTGGGTTGCCATTTCCTTCTCCAGGGGATCTTTTTGACCCAGGGATTGAATTCACATCTCCTGCATTATAAGTGGTCTCCTGGCCTGCAAGTGGATTCTTCACCAAAACTGGTAGCATACCAAATCTAAACGTGTGTATGCCTGATAACTCAGATATTTCACTAATAGGTATGTACCCAAGAGAGTAAAATGTATGTGTGTGCACTCAGACTTTCCTCGCATAGCACAGAACAATCAACATAGGAAAAATACATCCCAGTAGTGCTGTCTATCCATCTGCTGCAGAATCTTACATTGTAGAACAGCTGAGATGGAAACCAGAGAACAGTGTTAGGGTGATACAACATGCAAAAGCACTTACTCAGATACCTACATCTAAACAGACTAGGATCCAAAGCATTTGAGGAAGTAGATTGTAGTAAATCCCTGCTAATTGAACTCTAAAGAATGTCTAAAGTAGAACTGAGAACTGGTTAGAACTGAGTTCCCTGAGCTATTCTGATTTACCCCAGAAACTTTAAAATTGCAATTAGGATTTCTCTGGTGGTCTAGTAATTAAAACTCCAGTAGTCACATGCTGCCAATGCAAGTGATACTGGATTAGATCCCACATGCCATGTGGTGCAGCCAAAAAAAGATTTGGGGAAAAAAAAAGGAATAAAAATGTAGTAAAACGTGCCTCACTTAACAGGACCACTAGCAACTAGAGAAAGCTGAGGATTTTTCAAGGTACTCCTGAAACCTGAATGGTATCATATGAGCCTTTCAGAAAGAAAAAGATCAAGACAAGGGCATATGATGAGTAGCTATTTATTCTGATTTATTCCCTTCCACTCATCTTAAATGAAATACCACAACCAAGGCCACTCACTCTGACAATGCATTTTCCCAACAAGCCACTGCAAATCTTCTCCACATCTGGCAACAGGGTCTCCAACCAGAGAGTATCCTTCATTGCAAGTATACATTATGTTTTTCCCAACAGGAAATGTGGCACCTTCATCCTAAACAGAAATAAAAGATGGAAAGAGGAAGAATACATCTCTTTTGCATTAATAAATTGTTTCTTTAGATATATTCAGCCTATAAACCATGACTTCTTTAATCACTAGGCAACCTGCATTCAAATAGCTCACTTTGAAAACTGTCCATAAAATCATTTTTTCCTGTACAGTCCTAATTAACAACACTGATACCATCATTTATTGAAATAAAGATATTAATGTCACTATACTATAATTATTGACTGCTCCCCAAATGAAGCACTATACTAAACATTTTATCAAAATTATTTTAGTGGATGCTGCCCAAGTAACTTCTCTTATACTTTCAGGAAAGTCTGTTATCAGATTTTAGGAATGTCTTTGTCAGTCAACTCTTCCTAGTGAGGTGTTATGGGCTGTCCACTGGCAATCACGCCCAACAAAAGCCATTATGAACAGGGAGAAATGTTTACATCTTATCAGCATGTTCAAGGGAGTCTGAGTTTCCCACTGATGACTTTTAAGAGAAGCATAATGTTGCTCTTCGCCCACCACTCTCCTCTGCCCCATCCTGTAAGGGAAGTGTTGCTGGAGCTGAGTCAGATTTGAGGACATGTTATTAACCTATAATGCCAAGAGGTGAGATTTCATGGTGAAGCAAGGAAGAATCTAAAGTCTGAGCCTTGAGGGAGTCATCATGCTTGTTTGGTTTCTCTATTGTTGCCTTTACTTATCCTTTTACTTCTCTGCTACTCAAGGGGATGATAAAGAAAATCAGCCTGGAAGAGGACTTGCAGCTGGAACAGCTTTGCTGTTGGCATTAGAACAAAATTCTATGGAGCCTGCTTCTCACAGTCCTACTCATCCTAATCCATTCTGGCTCCATTATGGGAGTTGGTAGGAAACACAGCACCCAGATTGGCATTAAGATTTTCAGAAAATGGGGAAAGATACTTGATCTGCTTTAGTTCTAATCCCTAAGCCTTCCTCTTTCTTGCAGAAGGGACCTCTATATGAGAAAGTCTAACTCAACAGTGTCTAAACCTGGCCATCTCTGTCAGAATCACTAGCAGCAATTTTAAAACAAAGAAAAAAGATTCTCAGGCTCTACCCCAAACTTACAAAATGGGGGGGGGGGGGGAAGAAAGGTCAAGTAATAATCCATTGTTCAGTTCCACGGGTGCCTGTGAGGTAGCCAGTCCACAGGACAGTGTTTAGAACCTGCAGTTCTTTACAGGACACCACATGCACAGAAGCTGAAGACAGCACATACACCTCTGAATAGTATCTACATTTGGGGAAATTTCAACAAACGCTCAGTGAGTATATGTTTAAGGGCCTGGCATTTGAGAGACAGAAACTGTCATGGAGAAAGCCAGGCTGCTGGCATTGAGAAAATCCTGATGAACAGTAACTCCTATGTGAGCACAAAGAGACACTTACTGGGGTTTGGAGCCAAAGTCTCATCATAACAAGGAGTGAGAAGAACACAAATTAATATGGCCCCAAAGGCAAGAAAGTTCTCCAGAATGACAGTGGCAGATGACTCGTGTTCCTTCCTGAACAAGAAAATTGCTCCAAGTACAATGACCCATATCTCACCAGACACCAGCTAAATGTCTCACTGGCTCCTGGAGTAAATGGCATGCTTCACCCCAGCCCCGGTAGTTATGAAAAACTAAACAACTCCTTTCAGTGATAAAAATATGGAAAGTTCTCTATATTGAAAACCTTGCTTATAGATTCCTACTTTCATGTTCAGAATGGAAATGTTTAGCAGCCCTCTGGCATGATTACATTTCTAATTCATTGGGTGGTGATATTGATTTCCCTTACCATAGAAGATACACTGCCTTCTGCAGAATTCTAATCACCTCGGGCCAAAGAAGAAAAGTCACAAACTAAAACCCTCACCAATAAAAAACTAAAATGCACACATAAAACGCTTTTAGCACTGCTTCATCACAGGAGGAGGAAATAGATTATGAATATCAGTAGAGAGCTAGAACTTGGAGCAAAAAGGATATGTAAAGAAAAAAAATCTCTTTCATAACCAACTTGAACAAATCCATCTTTCAAGGCAGGAGGTGACGAACAGAATTTTGTTGGAACCAAAGACAAGGGAAAGCAATGTGGTTCGAGCAATCTGAAAGGAAAAGGAAATAAAACATAATTAATGAGATGGATTTTCTACTGCTAATAAATATTTTACACTACAGTGAATTTTTCATTTGCATCTGAAGGGATTCCATCATGTAAGTAAGCTGATGTGATGTTTTTGCCATTCTCAGAACCAAACATCTGATCACATCCATGACAGAAGACCCAAACAAAAAACTTGAGCTTCCAAAAGATAACAACCAGGTCAGTAGTGCAGAAAATAAGCATAAAGAAAAGAGAAAGAAAGAAAAGTGATTGGACAACACACATCTTTATATGACTTCTAGAGGACATCCATCTAACACTACTTTTTCTCCTGCTGTCTGTCTCTTAAATACTTTAAACACAAAACTACTTCTCTATTGAAAATAAGGCAATTCAAGTTCGTAATCCTGGAAGAGTGGTAACACAGTAACCACTTTTGACTGAGCACTCACTATGTGCTAAGCACCATGGCAGATGTTCTACAAATGTGCCTCAGCCCAATTCACATGCACAGTAACCCCCTGAGATATGTGGGAAAAGTCTCAGAAAGTCTGAGTAACTTGTCCAAGGTTATAGAGTAAAAGATACCAGGACTAGATTCACATCTAGCCAGTTGTTGTTCAATCGCTCAGTCGTGCCCGACTCTTTGCAACCCCATGGACTATAGTACGCCAGGTTTTCCTGTCCTTCACCATCTCCCGAGGTTTGCTCAAACTCATGCCCATTAATGCCATCCAACCATCTCAGCCGCTGTCGGCTCCTGAAACTTAGGATCTTTCTACCTCTCACAAGGCAATCTCTAGCAGGGCCCAAAATAATTGAATTCAAGCAGGTCCCTGTGGGGCTCCCAGGCAGGGAGGCCTATTTTTGTCCAACCTCCATGACCTTCCCTAAGGGCAGATTTAAATAGTTGCTAATCAAGGGAAAAGCAACCAAGAAAAGAGCTGAGGCCAGACTAAAGAGCCCCATCACTGGAGATGAGATGAAGAGAGTGCAAGCTGGGTACACACCCTGATCTTCTCAGAGGCCCCACCCTTGGACTTTTGTTATAAAACCCCCTCAGCAGATCCTCTGCGCTTGGGACACACAGTTTCTTGAGGCAGGAGACTACTATGTCCTCCTTTGCCTGGCACAGTAATAAAGCTATCCTTTTCTACTTCAACCAAAACACTGTCTCCGAGATTTAATTCGGCACCGGCACAGCGAGGCTGAGCTTTTGGCATCATACTCATGGTAACATTGACATCCATCATTAGGCAATGATTATCAGTGGTGCCTCTGAGGTCACTCTTCCACCAATATTAACTCCACTCCAGAAACATGAAATCTGAAGGGAAGCCTTACAAATAGCCTCTGAATGTCACCTCCTTCTGAGCTAAGTTCTGAGGAAACTCAGAAATGTGAAGCAGTAAGCATAATTTTCCTTTTTGTACTAAGGAGGAAGAGGATATTTTCTCTCTTCTGAGCACCAAGAAGAGTGAGAATTCTCTCAGAGCTTCCATAGGAGGCTCGTGTCAATCCAGTTTTATGTCTGCAGGTGAGGAAACACACCCACTGGGGCCAAGGCTCCCTCAGAGACCCTTGCCTTCCCAGAAATCTGTGCCCTGAATGCAGCTTTCTCCTCCTTCCAGATTTCATATGTTTGCCAGCCGCCATAGCCAAGAGATGGGACTTCCCAGGTGGCACTAGTGGTAAAGAACCTGCCTGCCAATGCAGGAGATGTAAGAAGCGCAGGTTCAATCCCTGGGTCGGGAAGATCCCCTGGAGGATGGCAACACACTCCAGTATTCTTGCTGGAGGCACCCAAGACCTGGGAATAAGGCACCCCATTTCCCTATGCTAATACCACACACCCATGCATCTTACATTTTCATCAACTCACATGACCTTCAAATTACCTTTGTGGAATGTTTGCTAATCTCTGATCAGAAAAGGTTGATAAGGACAGTGTTAAAGAATAGGGTGTGCCATAAAGAATTCCAACCCAGGGGAACAATTCAGCAATGAAGCATTTTTAAGGATAGTTTTGGCAAGATCCTGACCTATAGGAAGTCGGTATCGGACAACTGGGTTATCAGTGAAGATGTTAGCCATCTCAAATATGTTCTTGATGCTTCATCCAAAGAAAATAAATGAGGGGGTTGTAAATCTGAAAATAATACAACTGTTATTGACTGCCTACTATGTTCGTGGCACTGTACTAATTACTTTGTGTTCTTAACCTCATTTAATTCTGACAACTCTCGGTTATCACTGTATCTACTATTTTTATCCTGATTTTAGGGGTGTGCAAGTAACTTGTTCAAGGTCTCAGAGCAGGAAGTTAGCAGATCTGCTTGACGCCAAAGCTGCTGCTCGCATCCACTGAGCCAGACCACCTCCCAGTTCCCCAACCTTTTGTAACAGCTGCATCAGGAAAACTTGAAGCGCACACATGAGGACATCCCAGGTGATGTTAGTGGTAAAGAGCCCTACTGCCAATGCAAGAGATACAGGTTCAGTCCCTGGGCCTGGAAGATCCCCTGGAGTAGGAAATACAAACCACTCCAGTATTCTTGCCTGGAGAATCCCCATGGACAGAGGGCTACAGTCCATAAGGTTGCAGAGTCAGACACAACTGAGCAACTTGAGCACATCTAGACCAAAGAATAGAGGAAAGGCATCTACATGTCAAGGCACTCTCAGTGATTCTCACTTCCCACATGCCTCTCCCGTTCAGCTGACCCGTGTCAAAAACCAAGCACTCCCTGATAAAACCATCATTTAGGGTTTAAATTTTTCAATAGCAGCCATCATGTATTCCATGCTTCTGCAGAGGGCATTGAGTTTTCTGTAATTGCCAGGAGGTCTGGTCTCCATTACCGCAAATGCTCCAGCTCCTCGTCTTCGCATTGCCTGGTTTCTGAGGTTTCTCCAATGCAGGATTTCCCACCCCCACTGGGAGGTGGGTTATTGCATTCTCGGCTCCTTGTTTTCTTCCCTTGAACACAGGGACCCCAAGAGGACCAGCAGTTCCACCCTCCATCCACCCCTCCTGCAAATAAGAAAGAGATTTTTTGGAGAGCACTTAGAGAGAAAGATTCCTGAGCTTAATACTAAGCTCTCTGCAAAGTGGTTATTAAGGGCGGTGACAATTCGGAGTGTACTTCCCTCACACTGTTCACTGAGGCCTTCCACCATGGCAGACAGTCCCTGCACGCTGACTAGGATTGTCCACATTAAGACTGCACTAACAAACTTCTTGCAACAATACCTTAAATTTGTGTATTATTTTACAACTATTTTCAAAGCACTTCCACGTGCATTTTTTCATTCATTTACTTCTCACTAAAATGAATGGAGGTGGCCAAGAGGTCTGTTAACATTTTCATTTGATAGGCATGGAATCCAAGACTAAATGGTTAAATGCTATGTCCAGTGCTGTACTGGCAGCTGAGTGCCACATCCTGACTGTAACTCGGTCTTACAGCTGAATCCAGGTTCTTTTTTTTATCACCTCACAGTCTCTCAATAAAGGCCCATAAGGTCCTATTGTTAAAGCAGTGATTGGACCTGAGAAGAACATAGTGTTTTGGGTATCCAGGTTGCCAACCCTAGGGTTGGAGCTGGATAACATGAGAAAATATGCAAGTAGGAGAAATGTGTCTACCTTCTGTCAGAATCCTTCTTAACCTGCAGGTACCTCCTCACTCACTCTGGCCACCTTCCACCTCAGGGCAGGTTCCTGTCTCAGTTTTTAGTATTTTCCCCATCATGGTCCTTGGGGGAGGTAAGAGAGAATTTGAAGCATATTCTAGGAACTTTTCTTTCCTAGTTAGAAACCAATCAGGAACCACCCCCTCAAAGCATTATTTTCTGCTAATAGAAGGGGTGTTTACTGCTCCTTAGCTATTTCTACTGCAGGACCTACATCCCTCTTCCCCTCTCGCCCCCAACACTCACTCCTCAGTATTGTACACACCGAAACTAAAATAATTTGTATAATAATTTCCCCCAATCCTCCTTACTCTTTCTTCCACAGTTAGAAGTTGTGTGTATGTGTGTGCTTAGTCGCTCAGTCGTGTCCGACTCTTTGCGACCCCACGGAATGTAGCCCACCAGTCTCCTCAGTCCCTGGGGATTCCCCAGGCAAGAATACTGGAGTGGGTTGCCATGCCCTCATCCAGGGGATCTTCCCAACCCAGGGATCGAACCCAGTCTCCCGCATTGCAGGCAGATTCTTTACCATCTGAGCCCTCAGTATTAATAGTAGGTAATAAGAGCTTGATGATTTATGATTGCTACTCCATTTCTCACCAGCAGGGGGAGCTTCCAGTTTAGCAAATAGCTGTAAATCAAACCTTCGAAGGAATCAATCACAGAGGTGGTATTTTAATTTATCAAGACTGGTCAATTGGGAAGATGTTAGGAGGCAAAGATGCTTTCTTGATGCTTATCTATAAGCAACCATGGTTTAGTCATCCATTCATTTATCAAACACTTATTTATTAAGTGACCTTATGAATTAAGCCCTATGTCAGGCTCCAGGAATAAAGGAAGCAAACAGTTCTGACCTTAAGAAATGAGCTTTTGAGATTAAACAGCCACATAAATAAATATAAAAACAAGTATACACAAATCGTCTCATACTTTGCCTACTCATAAAGTCAACTTCATGTTGACTTCAAGCACCAAATGCTCTGTTGAGCACACAGCTGTTGTTCAACAAATATTTGTGAATGAATGATTAATTGGTGGGGACATAATGGAAAATAGAAACAGTGGTGTTTCCAAAGGCTTGACACCAGAAACGTTAGTCAGTTCAGACGAAAGCTCTAAGTTGAGACAAAACTTTACTGAGATGACCATGGAAGGATGGAACATGTTTCAGGCAATAAATCTATTCTAATAGCGAGTGAAGGATTGAAGGCAGGTCTGTTAGTTCAAGGGCTTCCCTGGTGGCTCAGATGGTAAAGAATCTGCCTGCAATGCAAAAGACCTGGGTTCATTCCCTGGGTCAGAAAGATGCCCTGGAGAAGGGAATTGGCAACCCATTCCAGTATTCTTGCCTGGAGAATCCCATGGACAGAGGAGCCCGGCAGGCTACGGTCCATGGGATCACAAAGAGTCGGACACCGTGAAGCAACTAACAGTTTCTATTAGTTCAGATGGGGAAATCAGTGAGACAGCAAAGGGCCCTGACCCCATTAGCTATAATCTGGAGGTGGAATAGAGAGGGAGAGTCAGAGTCAAAACCTGATCAGACTTCCCCCTACCCATCCATGAAGAAGCACAATCTCAGAGGCCAGAGGGAAAGTGGCCACCACAAATGCAGCACACTGACCTGCTTGATCCCCTACGAGGACTCCTTGCTCACACGCCACACCAGACGTGTTTGGTTTGCAGTAACACTGACACCGGGTTCCCTGAACAGTGGCCACGCCACCGTTTTGACAAGGCCGGCAATGGCAGGGGTCAGATTCATCCAGATACTCCTCGAAGGCCCGTTTCAGGTACAGCTTTTTCACAGAGGCACAGGGTACTTCCTTGACCAGTTCATACAAAGGTGTTAGCTACACAGATAAAGACATCACATGGTCAGGAATCAGAGTTTTAGTAAGAATATTTTCCTTCCAGCATTTTGGCTCAGCCCTATGAAAACAAAATCAAAAGCCACTCATCTTCATTCCAACTATTTCTTGTTCAAATAAAAAAAGAAAGCAACCCACTTTCTTCACAAGACAAACCTAGGGAAAATTAGAACCAGATAAGGAAGGAATCTTTTTTGCATTTTGTGTGAATGCATAAAATTTTTTAAAACCAATAGGACCTTCATTTTTTAGTTATTAAAAGATTATTTTGAAGACCACACATTTCCACCCTTGCAAGATTCAGGTTCTCTTCAAGGTGATGTGCCACATTTGTTGTAGACTACGCATTTAACAATTTAACCTGTATACATCTGCAGCTGTTTTTATTGGTGCCTGTCTTTTTTTTTTAAATGAATGTCACAGATCAAGTTTTTGTGTATTGTATTCCTAACACCATTTTCCCCATAAGCCCTGTGGTGTTTATTGCACACTTTTGCCTAACTCTCTGATTTTTAGGAACACATATGTTGTGTTATACAAGAACTGACTGTACCAATAAAACATCCTAAAATTCTGCCAGTCAAACTGATTCTATCTTTTTAGAACTAACCTGCATGACTCCAGAAACTGCTAAGCCATGGGCACAGTAAGAAAGATGATCTGACAAACCTAATACTAGACAAACCTAAGTACCTTCCTATTGAAAGAATCTGTAACTCTTCTGAATCAGGGACCAGGAAAGCATAACCAAAATTAGGTCAAATGCTAGAAATGCAAATTTTAGCATTAATTTCTCTTGGGATTTACAAGACATTTAACCTTTACAACTGAAATATGGACATACAGGATAATGAACCTTCTGTTTCCAATTATGTATGCATTCATTTCACTATACAAACCATAATTGGGATACAGAAAACACTAATTACAACCTTCTCTGTTTAACCACCTTGATTTAATCTCACTGTCCCAGTGCAAATAAGCATGTCTACTTTCTGGTGCTTTCTTCTTTTTTTTTCTTTTTTTTTTTTTACGTTTTTTATTGGAGTACAGATGATTAACAATGTTGTAACAGTTTCAGATGCACAGCAAAGGGACTCAGCCCTACATAAACATGTCTCCATTCTCCCCCAAACTCCCCTCCCATCCAGGCCACCACACAGCACTGAACATCACATACCTTTTGTTTTATGACTTCAGGAAGATCAGGTACAGATCCTGCCCAGCGAGAATATCGTTGTTTGTTTCCAGCAGGATTGTCCAGGTCCAGGTAACTAAGGCCAGCAATTAAGCCAGAACGTCCCCCTCTGACAAATGGGACCCCTCGCAACACATTGTCCCCGCTTTCTACTCAAGGAAAAATCAAATAAGTTCAGATGTACAAATGAAATGAGAATGAGAAAATGAAATTGAAAGTCTATCAAGTATTTTAACATAACCCATTCAACTGTATGACATTCTGGGAAAGGAAAAACTATGGAGACAGTAAAAATACTTGTGATTGCCAAACAGGAGGGATTTTTAAGATCCTTAAAGGATTTCTAGAGCAGTGAAATTGCTGTACATGAAACTATAATGGATTGTTATTGAGTTGCTGAGTCGTGTCTGATTCTTTTTCGATCCCATGGACTGTAGCCCGTCAGTCTCCTCGGTTCATGGGATTTCCCAGGCAAATATACTGAAGTGGATTGCCGTTTCCTACTCCAGGGGATCTTCCCAATCCAGGGATGGAACCTATATCTCCTGCATTGGCAGGCAGATTGTTTACCACGGAGTCACCAGGGAAACCCACTATGATGTTTACATGTCATTATGTATTTGCCCGAACCCACCGAGTATGCAGAACCCTCATGTAAACTATGGGCTTTGAGTGATTATTCTGTGCCGGTATGGGTTCATCGGCTGTAACAAATGGACCACTGTGGCCTGGATGTTCACAGTGGAGGAGGCTGTGCCCGTGGTTGGGGATATAGGGATTCTCTGTACTTTATGCTCAATCACTTAGTGAACCTAAAATTACTCTAAAAACAGTATCTATTAAGAGAGAAAAGAAAACAGACACAATCATTACCTAATAGTAGATGATTATTAAGAGATTATTATTCATATTCTTAATGTTCTTAGTGTAATAAGAATATTTGTTATACAGGTGACTGTCTTGCTTCTTAGAAAATACATGTATATACTTAGGGATGAAACATCATGTTGTTTGAAACTTCCAAGTGGTTTAGCAAATATTCAAATATTTTAAATACATATTTTTGTATTGCTGACAGTCAACATTATAAATACTATACATAGATATATATATAAATATATCAAAATAATAATTATTACATATAAGGGATGGGTACATAGGTGTTTATTACTATGTTCTTTCAACATTTCTGTATGTTAGAAATTTTTCATAAGAAAATGTTGGGAGGGAAAGTTCACTGCATCTGGAATACTATAGTAAGCAAAATGCTTTTAATTAACAGGCTTACATTAACACATAAAAAGTGTTTTAAAAAACTCAAATACTAATCAAATCCCTTTTTTTTCATATCTGTGCCTTATAATTTCAGAAATATTTTCATCTCCTTGTGTAGCTGATTTCTACACTGATCATGACTGGAAATTCCTAACTTGCTGATCAGAGGTTGATTTTCATTTCCTTTTTTTAATCAAATTTTACAATTTCATCCAATTTTACAAATTTAAGAATTACAGTTTTATAATCAGAAGTTCATATTTTTAATAAAAATACCTGAGTGAGTCCTCATCTTCCTTGTTAGTTACATTTTTAATATACAAATAGAACCACTTTTAAAGCAATGTATTGCTAAGTTCAGTCCCTGAACTACCAGAATCACCTGGAAAGACTGCAGATTTCTCATATCAAATGGATATCTAGAAGGAAATAGCTGGGAGAAAAGCCATGGCCTGAGCAGCTGATCAGACTAACCAGGTAATCCTCATGCACACCAGAGTGTGAGAATTACCACCTTAACTGATAAGCTTGTTTACAAAATACAGAGTATAAGAAATCAGATTTCATATTTATTTTTAAGCTTATCGCCTCTCTCTCTACACCTCAGTAAGCTCTCTGCTCAGCTGGCCCTCTTCCCCTAGACAATAGGCCCAGGAAAACAGCAAAGGGTCCAGACTACGAAGCCAGACATTGGAATCTCAAGCCTGACACCAACTGTAGTCTTAGGTAACCTCTCTGTGGCTCGTGCCCTTGTTGGTAAAATGGAGATATGGAATAATATCCAACTCTTAGGTGGAAGTATATTGGTTAATTCTTATAAATCACTTAAAATGGTGCTGGGCACATCGTAAGTGCTGTTTGTTAAGTCTGAAAGAAATAATAACACAAAATAAAATTGATGAGCCACTTCTGATCACCAACCCAACTGATAGCTGATATTAACATCTTTTCAAAGCTCCCACTTGCATTTCTATTTCCAGATCATTGTATTTCCACATTGTTCAACTACTTGTCCTTCTCTTTTGTCCTGTCAGCTCTAAGAAGACAGGCTCTTTCTCTAGCATGTTCACTGCTGCCTCACCAGTGCCTAGAACAATTTCTGCAGACACTATAGGTTCCATAAATAGTTGATGAATACAGTAAGTAAATGAGGAATTAAAGCCTGGCTTAACAGTGTCTCCCTCCTCCTTGCATTTATCTGCTAAAGAATCCTGACTTCCTTGATGAGGACCTTAGCACCTGCATCAGTCTTCTCCTTCATCCCAATTTCTGCCATCATCCCAAGAGAACTTGAGCTCCAATATCACTCCATGGCCTTACACATTTCATGGCACAGTCTCATTTCCATCCCTACCACACTAAAAATCTCTTCATGTTAGGCAATTAAGTCTTAATTGCCAAATCCAATGAAGAATCTTCAGACTTTCTCTTACTTAACTTCACTCTAGCACTTCTCATTATCAGCTTCTTCTCTACCTTCCATTTTACTCATCTCTTCTGGTTTTTATCCTATCAGATTATTCCCTTTCAATCCCTCTTGTTTCACTACAACTTTATATTTGTCATCTTTCATCTATTCGCTCCCTGTATTGAATCCTTTAATGGCATCCCTCACCATCAGGATGAAACCCAAACTCCCTGACACAGTGTCTAGACAGTCTAGACAGTCTTACCCTTCCAGTTCCTTCTTCAATCACTCAAAGACTAACACACCACCCCCCCTACTCTGCCACCACCATCACCAAATCTTTGCCTGCACTGAACATCCATGTTACAGAGTGGCACTGAAGCGTCCCCTCTTGGTGTCATTTTTCTAGACTGGTTTGCCAACCATCCTCACAGGAGACAGGGGTGGTGTACACAGAGGACATAGTTACAGTACACAGGACATACTCAGCGAACCTTCTGTTCTGCATGATGGATCACTGCCATGACATCCGGCAGAAAGATCACAGGTACAATAGCCAAGTGTTTGAAAAACGCAAAATAGAATGCCTGCTGAAGTGTCAAAGTCCCTTGGAGACCAGGAATTAACCACAAGGGGGAGAGAGGTAAACTTGTAATGAAAATTACCCGCTTCTCATTTACCTGAAACCGATTTTAAGGCATCATCCATCGTTGTGCATTTTTGTTTTGATAATGTAAACAAAAACTGGAAATGTGAGGAAGCACATTTCCTCTTATCCTCTGAATGGAAATCTGGGGGGAAAAATTTTAAACATGCTTAGTTTCCACATTTGTTGAAAATCTCCTTTGAGATGCCAGGTGTGAGAGTGGGAGAAGAGGTTTTTTCCTACCACTGTGGCCATATAATCAAAAATGATATGATATGTATATTTTCAAGTGCTCTAGGAGGATCAAGGGTCAGAAAAAGCAATATTTGATCTTTGTTATAAACAAAATAAGATACATGCATATATTTAGGGATAAGGCATCAACTGTCTGTCTCACTTTCAAATGATTCAGCCAATATTGACTTCTAATGTCCTTGACCAGAGGGTGGGGTTACATGGATGATTTCTATATGAAATAGTGGAGGGAACTAAAATTGAACACCTCAGAGTGTAATATCTTTCACCCAACCACAGTCAGCTTCTCAGGCACAAGGCAAATAGGTAAAAATCAATATGCAATGGCCTCCAGCCCACCTACTGGAGATGCCAAAAACTGGGTGTGGTTCTACAGTAGTTAATTCCTAAAACCCTAGTTCTAGTGCCTCAGTCTCTCCATCTTTAACATCTCTGGTTTCTACATTTTCTTCCAATGACATCTTAGATGGTTATAATTTCTATTCATTACCAACTGGAATTTTGCCAATGTAATTTTTTAAAAGAGGATAGAAAATAATAAAGAATAGAAATACATTTTTAATATAATTTTACTAACAATATTATAATAAACACAATATTTCTTAAAGAACACTTGTGTGTATCATATCCCAGGAGTCTTGATTAATTTCAATTAAAACTTTTGGGAGGAATAGAATCTGCTCGAGTAAAATTTTTACTCAAAATTTTTACCAACTCAGAAGGCTTTTTTAAAAATCCTCTTCATTTCTTTTAAGTGTTAAAGAAAAAAAATGATCATGAAACTGAGTTTAGATCAAGCCATTTTCTGGATTTCCCCAAAGAAATATTGCCTCTGTTGTTGCTACAAAAACCTGTACTTGTGCATTCATTTCCAACCTGTTGAGGTTGGAGAAGTTCACATCCTAATTGAATCATAATTGGTTAAAAAAAAAAATTAAGCCCTAGGGGGGAAAATAGTCAATGGAAACAGAAAATATTGTGGTTTACCCACAAGACAAGGCTATATTCCTCCTCTGAATCTCATCTGAAAAGTCTTACTCTCCTCCAAAGTGGTAAGAAAGTCTTGACTGAAGAATAAGGCACTGAAGAGGTGAATTTGGATAGAGAAGCAAGTGTGGCCATGAGCTTCAGGACAAAACTGGGAAGAAGTTTGGACTTGGCCCATAAATAAGTGAAGTTTCTCAGTCGTGTCCGACTCTTTGGGACCCGATGGACTGTAGCCTACCAGGCTTCTCCGTCCATGGGATTTTTCAGGCAAGAGTACTGGAGTGGGGTGCCATTTCCTTTTCCAGGGGACCTTCCCAACTCAGGGATCGAACCCAGGTCTCCCGCATTATAGGCAGACGCTTTACCCTCTGAGCCACCAGCCAGGGCCAAAAGGTCTTTGGAGAGGAGGAACGGATCTTAAGACTCACATGCTCCTCCAACATGGTGGTAGCTGGTAAGGAATATCCTCTCACTGTGGAATCAACCACGCATGAACTCAGTAGTGTGCCCAGTTTCTAACAAGAATCAGGCAATTCCAGCAGCAACATAACATAAGGATAAAGCTAAGCTGATGCTGGAGCCAGTTAGACCTCCTTACAATCTATATGCCTTGAGATGAGTCTCTTCACAGCACTGAGTCTCCATTTCTCAGCCTGTGGTCCAGGAACCATAGTGGACATCTCACTGGGGAGCAGTGAGGACCATTGCTGACATAGACAACTCACCTGTTGAGAAGGAATCAATGAATTTAGGCTATTGTTACACGTCTTAGGTAGTAAACAAACTTGTGATATTCAGAGCAGATTTGGTTTTAAAGGCATGTGAGTGGTAAAGAACAGAGGCAAATAAAAAAATTTTCATTGAAACATTTTGATTTCTGCAATATTAGTAAAATCCTCATCAGTTTTCCTCAAGGAATATTAATTAATCTGAGAAATGGGGAGATCAAAAAGTATTATAAAAAGCCAATCAATATCCTCTAGAGATAACAACAATGGTAACGACTTAACTCTCATTTCAGGATACTATCCAAAAGAGTAGGCAAGCTTTTCCTTAAGGCCTGGAAGGTTTTGTGTAGAGTACAATGGATTAATACAATTTTGGATTCCTTTGCAATTTAACCACTATTTGTCATATTTTAAAGCTCTAAAGTTTAAGTTAACTATAGGTTATTCCCCCATTAAAATCCTTGCAATGCTTATATATAGCAATGTTTTTAATACTCTACCAAATTTTTTGACTTTTTCTGAGTCCATATAAAAGATAACTTTGTATTCTCCTCCTAAGGACCCAGACTGAAGATAATGTGTTCCATACTGGTCAATCAATCTTCGGTAGGCGCTGTAGTCATACAGAGAGGGAAGGTAAGAGAGTTCCTTCCAGAATGACTCAGCCAGTTGTAAAAATTCCGGATTGTTATTGATAAACTGAGCCACTTCAACAGTGTTCCGAAGAACCAACAATTGATAACTCTATAGGAAGAAGAAAGAGTAAAAGGCGTTTTAGGTTGAAGATTAAAAGGCAATGGAAATATTTTCTGGTTCAATGTCTCCATCAACAGTCACCTACATTAATGCAGACTTTATGAATTTTTGTTTTTGAAGCATAACGAGGTCTCTTCTGAACACATCCACTTGAAGCAATCTAAGGAATTTTTGGAATCTCAAACAGGAATAACATCTGAGTGATGAATTCATAACTTGTTTTATAGCTAACTTTTAAAACCCCAAGACAAAATTGTTATGCCCTCCTCAACTAGCAAAAAGGAATTAGCATCACTAACTACTAAATAATCTCACAGTTAGGGATATAATGTCCTTAGAGTCCACATCTTGACAATGACTTTATCAGTAGGGTGATCATCTAATTTACCTTTCATAGTGGGGTATTTACAGGGTAAGCCACTTTATAATGAGATCTTTTAAACCCTTCCTAGGCATCTTTTCATGATATCCAAGACAGAGCTAACTTACACCAAATTATATGAATAATATAATAATATGAATAATATATGAATAATTATATGAATATAATTATATGAATAATGTGAATAATATTATATGAATATGAATAATATATGAGTAGTGAATATGAATAATATATGAATGATATAATATGAATATGATAAATGTTTTTACACTCATATTTCCACTTAGTCATAAAACAAACAATATCTATATTCCTTTATACCTTGCTTATGTGATTTATTTATCAAGTTACTGACTTTAAGAATGAGATGAATTGTGCATATTATGAATGATAATAAGCCTGAAAAATCCTTCAGCACTAAGTATGTATCAATAAGTACAATTCATCTCAACTGTTCAGGTTGCCCGTGACGAAAGTCTTAGTATCTCAAAACAATAGAATATCTAAAGTTAAGTCTTTTAATTCCTCAGATGAAAATGTTGGTCTCTCCAAAGTAATAAGGTATATTAACATCTTTTATTGTAATACACCTCTTTGAAAAACTCTAGTATTAGTGTTTCAGAGCACATTTTCATTGGATTTTTGAAATTGTATATAACACCTATAGCACCATCAGTAATCATGAATTAGAAATTTAGGCTAGTTTTAACTAGAAGATTTTAAAGTTATAAGTTTTTTAGATTTTTAAATAAGAACAAGTAATGAGAAAATAAAAAGTGTAAATAAATACAATATGAAAGAGAATTAACAAGACAAAAGCTATACCTTTTAAAGAAGTATATTGGATTATCTCTTTGAAGAAGATACTATGCCCTAATTAAAAAATGATAGCTGATTTTTTTGGTAAATACATTTTTGTTAATGTTGGAAATACTTAAACCAGCAAAATATGGAAAAGTTAATGAATATTTCACACTAACCTTTTTCTTAATGAGTGTATTCACATTTGAAGAGTAACTGTATGAAGAAGATGAAGAACCAAAAAAGAGAAAACGTCCTTTACTAGATGATGAATGTTCTGTTGATGTTTCTTTTACATAAGCCCAGGTACTATTGTAAAATTCATTATTAAAATCATTATTTATTTTCACCTATAAAGAAAATGAAAATTTTTGCTATGAGCAAATTAAGGTCTTAGATGTAACCAAGAGTAATTTGTCATGGCTTCTCTGGTGGTGCAGAGGGTAAAGAATTTTCCTGCAATGCAGGAGAACTGGGTTTCATCCCTGGATTGGGAAGATCCCCTGGAGAAGGAATTGACAATCCACTCTAGTACTCTTGCCTAGGAAATTTCAAGGACACAGGAGCCTGGCAGGCTACAATTCTTGGGGCTGTATAAGTCAGACATGACTTAGTGACTAAACTACAACCACCACACCTTAAATATGTACCATAAAGAAAATGAAAAATTTTGCTATGATCAAATTAAGGCCTTAGATGGAACCAAGAATCTTTCATCATGGATCCCTTAACATGGATACTTTCTTTACATGATCTCCAAAAGACAAAGCTCCTCATTAATGTAAAACAACAGTGATTCTAAGACCAGGCCTATACAACTGTAAAAAAATAGAGTTCATTATAACAATTACTTAGTCCATTATTACAACAATTAGTGCATTATTAGAATTACTCCTTGTCAAGCAGGATACATAGTATTAATAACAGCAATCCCATGTGATTCACAAAATATGTTTGTGTACAAACATCTTGCATTTTCCTTTAATGCCAGCATTTAGCCCAGAAGTGAGCAAATTACCAGAATTACACTAACAGAGACCTACGAAGCAGCTGGCTCTTGACTCTTCATCCAATAGAGGGACAAAGAGATGCAAACAGGTGATATGAACTAGTTAGATCTTTGGGACTTGGTTTTTGAAATGTTCTATATGATCCATAGTGGATTTAAATTTATACTTCTGTTAGACTTAAATTAATGCTAAGATTGGAATTGCTTTTCCTTTGCTAGATGGTAGAAGAAAAAGCCATCCCAGAAGAAGTTTAAAACCGACAACAGGATAGTCACATGTGTCTGAGAAGTGACAGCTCCAGCGTTCATGGAGAAGACTATCATTTCTTTATCCTTTATTTTGTCCTAGATCAAGTGTCAAAATGAGGGCCATCAAGTAATATAAATGTTGGAAGCATCCAGTGGAAGGTAGGGTAATGAAGAAGTGAGCATACATCCCATCTAAGAGGGTCTAAACATTCAAACCGATCAGACAGTCTTGTATGTTACTACAAGTTCTAGTATTGACAGATACCTGATGTCTCAGGAATATATATATATATATATATATGTATAATATATATAAATCTTCATAAAAAAACTAATTTTTTAAATCATAGGCAACTAACTTGCTAAAAATGTGAGTCACCAGAATAAAACAAAACAAGCAATATGACTCTCAGTCTGTTCTGTATGAATATTCAAATCAGTAACTCTCCTTTCACAAGTATTTGTCTTTTATTATATGTCTATATACATCTGTATTTAAAATCAAGGTATAAAAATTGCAGAGAAAACTTAAATGATGAATATGATACATTTTTTGGAGAAGGAAACGGCAACCCACTCCAGTATTCTTGCCTGGAAATTCCCATGGATGGAGGAGCCTGGCAGGCTACAGTCCATGGCATCGAAAAGTCAGACACGAATGAGCTACTTCACTTTCACTTTTCATGACACATTTTAAAAACAAAGCTAAAAATAAAATACAATATTATGCAGCCATCGTAAATGATGCTTGTGAAGACAAACTATTCATGTTAAATGAAAAAGCAAGTATAAATGTGATATTTAGAAATCCAATTAACTACAAATATGTAAGTATATGCTCAGTCAAAAAAAAAAGACTAGAAAGAAATTCAGCAGAAGAATGCTAGGAAATATTACAATACTTTTGTCACTACCCATGTTAAAAATTAGGCATGCCTTCTAAAAACATGCCAGAAGAGAATAAAAAATGGATTTAGCTATACCTTTTATTTCAGCAGTATTTTCAATATATTATGCAGTTGACTTGCTTAACATTCAAGTGCAAAAATTCAGCTCAAGTCAAAATGAAGAATACACTATTATTCTTGATTACAAAAAGGATATTATCATTTTTATTATTGACTATAAGGAGGACATTATTTTTTTTAGCTGCACCATTGGCATATGAGATTTTAGTTCCCCAGCCAGGGATGGAACCTGAGCCCCTTGCAGTGGAAGCACTCAGAGTCTTAACAACTGGGCCACCAGGCAAGTCTCAAAAAGGACATTATTAAAAATGTATTAGAGATTTCTAGAGTCATTAGATAGTGTCTCAGTCATATTTGGTCTTGGATAGACACAGAAGTTAGTTTTTCCTTTCTTAAGAAAGAAAAGTTATCTAACTTCCTGTCAAAGCAAAAAAAAAAAAAGTCTATTTTTTCTTATCTTCAAATGTACAATTCAAATACTTAATTCATGATCTATCCATATAAGCTTCTTCAGAACATGAATTCAGCATCTCCTCACTCCTGTGAACTCTCCATATAGCCATAGGAATCTTTTCTCAAGGTAGTGTGATCTTAAATTTGCTTCAATTAACACCCTCTTCATTTTGTCTAAGATCCTGAATTCTCCCAGACTCAGTCTTCCTCTGAAATCACAATTCAAACATCCTACACTCTGACTTTTTTACTCTTTCGACTCTCATTCTACTATTGCCGTAGCTGATTATTCAACTTCATAGAAAGAAGCTCTGCAAGTTACTTCCCCTTGTCTTTCCCTATCAGCACCCTCACTTTTCACTTCCTTCCTGTTGTAGGTAAGCTTCATGGTTCATGACTTCAACCACTCTCATGCCAATGAACCTAATTCTTGCCAATGAGCCTTGTCTAGGTATGTCCTGCCACAGTATTTGCCAGGCAAAAACCCAACCCTAGTTCAATCCTCACAGCCAAGCAGCTTAGCACTACTACAGAAAAATCACACAACTATCAACTGGTGTTATGATAAGTTCATTCATGATTTCTAATTTCAGTGGAACCCTCAATACATGCCAGCAATCCTAAATCTCTAGCCAATTCTTTCTCCCATCCCATACAATATTGGTTTCAAAAGTTTTGCACCCATCTCAATTCCTCACTCTTACAGCCATTTCTTTCACTCTTAGAAGATAACCTGAACCTCTTTCTTTACAAATATTTCCTCTGTCAGACAAGAGACTTCTCGTACTTCTGGCTAACAAATCTACGAACTTATGAACACCTTCACTTCCTTTCCGCACGTGTGTTCCTCCTCCTATCTAAGGCTAATTTCTCTGACTTCTTCCCACCTCTCCAAAGGACCGATTAAATCGATTACTCCCTGTCTTACAGCTTCAAGTTTTCTTTCTCTACTGGCTCATTTCTATTAACACTTATACATATTCTGGGGCTTCCCAGGTGGTGCTAGTGGTAAAGAATTTGCCTGCCAGTACAGGAGACATAAGAGACACGGGTTTGATCCCTGGGTTGGGAAGGAAGATCCCTTGGAAGAAGGCATGGCAACCCACTGCAATATTCTTGCCTGGAGAATCCCCTGGACAGAGGAGCCTAGCAGACTACAGTCCATGGGGTCGCAAAGAATTGGACACGACTGAAGTGACTTAGCGCACACACACACACACACACACACACACACACACACTCTAATCCTACCAAAGTAGAAGGTACTACAAGGACTCCAAAATCACACTTCTGGCCTTCACACTCTATAGTTGTCATCTGTAAAAATAGTAGATGGTACTACCTGCCTACTTAGGTTATTATAAAGAAAAAATAAGGTGCATTTAAAGCACTTGAAACAGTGCTTAGTATACAAAGGGCTCTTAATATATGTGAGCTATTTTTAACATTATTCAAATTATTTTTTTGTTAACAAAGTAGATTTAGAAATCTCAGACAACAAGACTCATACCTTCAGAGGATGCAGAGGATCAGATAACTAAGCATTAGTTAAAATTGCCTTTAGAAGGTGTTTTTGCTATTAATTTGACAGACATATCTGATCTCTAAATAACAAAGTGAAGTAAATCAAAGACAAATATCACATACCACTTATGTGTGGAATCTAAAAAAATGACACAAATGAACTTGTTTACAAGACAGAAAGAGACTCACAGACATAGAAAACAAACTTATGGCTACCAAAGGTAAGGAGAGGGATGATAAATGAATTGGGGATTAGCAGATATCAGCTACTAGATGTTAAAATAGATAAACATCAAAGTCCAACTGTATAGCACAGAGAACTCTACTCAATATTTTGTAGTAAACTATAATGGAAAAGAATCTGAAAAGAATATATATCCATATATATATATTTAAAGACTCACTTTGCTATACACCAAAAATTAACACAATATTGCAAATCAGTTATATGTCAATAAAATTTTTAATATTATGAAGTACATCCAAGACCAAAACAGGAGGATCCAGAAAGTTATTTTCTCCACCCTGATCTTTGCTTACTCCCATCTGCAACTCATTACATGCTGAGAATACACAGGACTGTCTTTCAGCATGTCCCAAGCTGAACTAAGCAGGGTGGCACCTTCCCAAAGTGACCATGGAGCAGGAATGTGCTTGAGTTTCAAAGGCTCCCTTGCAGTATGAAAAACATGAGCAAACAGAGAACATGCATAGCTTCAAAGTGGCCTACTCGGTAGAAACGGGGTTTGTCCTGGATAAGCTCTCAAGCTGATTTCCAAAACAGAGATTAGAAGAGAGATTGACTGATTCTGTTTTCTGTTTATTTACTGTTTATGTTCCAACAAGCCAAAAGTCATGTTCTACCTGAAGAGGGCTGAATCCACAGTGGCTCCCAGTCTGTCTGAACTGAAGAGAACGTTGACCACCTCCATATTGGCACCTGGGTTTTGCACTTGCTTGACTGACTCAGTGCCTGCTACTTCCACCTCACTTCCCTCTGGCTGGATTCTCAAAACATCTCTACTCTACACTCAATAACAGGCTATAATTTCCCTCTTCCTCTGACAAACAGTCCTTCAAATTCAGCGACTGAAAAGGCATTTCAGATGTCAATCCAAAACCAAGCCATGCTGTGAAAAACGAATGGCAGGATTATGCTGTTATTAAATTATTTTTCTTCTTCAGAAGTGGCAGGCTTCCAACATGTCTTCCTTCCAACCATGTCAAAAGTCCTCTCCCTTATTATTTCCTCTGTTCTGTATGTGTATGTATACACATACACACACACACACACACACACACACACTCTTCTCCCCCTTATAATAATGAAAGAATTATCAACACATTACCCTAGGAATAAGAGAAGAAAAATCTCTCTGCATATACCTACCTCACATTCTCCCTTGAGGCCAAAGGATAAATTACAATACATGTTTTTTACCATGTTAGAATCTAGAGTTGAAAAAGCATTTAATACAATACATTGGAAGAATAAAATGGGCTTCCCTGGTAGATCAGCTGATAAAGAATATACATGCAATGCAGGAGACTCCAGCTCCATTCCTGGGTCAGGAAGATCCTCTGGAGAACGGCTAAGCTACCCACTCCAGTATTCTTGGGCTTCCTTGGTGGCTCAGATGGTAAAGAATCTGCAGTGCGGGAGACCTGGGTTCAATCCCTGCATTGGGAAGATCCCCTGGAGGAGGGCATGGCACCCCACTCCAGTATTCTTGCCTGGAGAATCCCATGGACAGAGGAGCCTCCTGGGCTACAGTCCATGAGGTCACAAAAAGCAACTAAGCACAGCACAGGGAGAGTAAAATATCCTGGAAAAGTGAAGGGCTGTGAAGTCTGACATACTGGCGTGTGTGCTAAATCATTCAGCCATGTCCAACTCTGTGCGACCCTCTGGACTGTAGCCCGACAGTCTCCTCTGTCCAAGGAATTCTCCAGGCAGGAACACTGGAGTGGGTTGCCATGCCCTCCTCCAGGGCATCTTCCCAACCCAGGGATCAAACCCATGTCTCAGATCTCCTGCATTAGCAGGCAAATTCTTTACCACTAGCACCACCTGGGACACGCTGGAACCAAGTCCTAAGCCCTACTACTTATTAATTTAGTGACTTAGAGCAAGTTAGTTGAAGTCCTCTGAGCCTTGATTTCTACTTATATAAAACAGTAAAATATTACTTCCCTTCCATAGATATTGTGAAGATATTGTGATTAAAATTATACAAATTTCTTAAAATAGTGCAGATGCCACCAGAGATATTCATAACTTGGTAGCTTTGATCATTTTTCAGATCTGTTCCACTTTCCATTTTCATGATTCAATAATTTTTAAATGTAACTTAATTCCATTATAAGTTGGAGGTTGGTGGATTTGCTCCTTATAATCAGAACTGCTTTCTGAAGATGGTTAATTTTGGTAAACTAAAGGCCCTTCCCTCTGAATATTCTAATAGTTTTGCTTTACAAATTTGGGAGTAATCAGTAAAGAGGGTTGAACTGGAAAATATTGAGTTCTTGGAAGATGAAAGGAAAGGCAAGACAGAGGAAACCTTGGAAAAGAAGAGCAAGAAACAGGCTAAAACAGGATGAGACCAGAAACTTCTTTTTGTTGGTGTTGTGGCTACTGCTGCTAAGTCACTTCAGTCATGTCCAACTCTGCAACCCCTTAGACAGCAGCCCACCAGGCTCCGCCGTCCCTGGGATTCTCCAGGCAAGAACACTGTAGTGGGTTGCCATTTCCTTCTCCAGTGCATGAAAGTGAAAAGTGAAAGTGAAGTCGCTCAGTCGTGTCTGACTCTTTGCGACCCCATGGACTTCGGCCTACCAGGCTCCTCGGTCCATGGGATTTGCCAGGCAAGAGTACTGGAGTGGATTGCCGTTGCCTTCTCCATGAGATTGTGGAAGGACAGACAATTTAAGATGGAAGATCGCAACTGTTGTTGTTGAATGAGTTGGCATTGCTACAGCAGAAAATCTCTGTTTCCTTTAAATCTTCAGGAATTTCCCCTAAAGCCATTACGCTTTTGTCTGAGTAGATTTTGTGTGGAAATCAAGGAACAGGATGATTTTAGGTAGTGTCTGTGACAGAAACAGCCCGCAAGAAGCAGAGGAGACCTTGAGACCATAAATGGAGTTTGAAAGCCTGGAATACAGATGCTGGCAATGATGTGGAGCACAGGTCTCTCTTCCACACTGCTGGTGGAGTATAGATGGACCATATATATATATCCATTTTGGAAACTTTAGTAAAATATAACCTATACATAACCTACAAGGCAGCCATTTGAGTTCCAAGTGTTTGCCCTAGAGAAACTCTAGCTCATCGGCATGGAACAACTCATGCACAAGAACATTCAAGGCATTTTCATAAGAAAAAAACAAAAGGAAACAGTAGTAAAAATACCATCTACATCAGCATGAATAAATTTCAAAACTAATCGAGTGAAAGAACAATTCACAGAAGAAAACATACTACATGATTTATCTGTGTCAGTGGCAAAGAATAAGCGAAACTGAATCACAAATTTTTCTTTAGGACAAAGACACATGGGATAAACATATACAGGAAAACAAGGAAGTGATTATATCAACACAAAATGTAAGATAGTGGCTACACGGGCTGTACCAGTGGAGAGGATGTGACAGAGAGGGGTAGATGGGAGCCTTTAAGTCACTGGCAATACTCTGTTTCTTAAGGTGGGCCCTGGGCATACATGAGTCCTATTAGTATAATTGTTTTGTTGCCCAGTTGCTAAATCGTGTCCAAATGTTTGCAACCCCATGGACTGCAACACACCAAGCTTCCCTGTCCTTCACTATCTCCTGGAGGTTGCTCAAACTCATGTCTGTTAAGTCGGTGATGCCATCCAACCATCTCATCCTCTGTTGTCCCCTTCTCCTCCCGCCCTCAATCTTTCCCAGCATTAGGTTCTTTTCCAATGAGTCAGCTCCTCGCATCAGGTAGCCAAAGTATTGGAGTTTCAGCATCAGTCCTTCCAATGAATATTCAAGATAGATTTCCTTTAGTATTGACTGGTTTGATCTTATTAGTTTTCTCCAAACTGCAAGTATATATTATTCACAGTCTTCTGTACATATGAAATATTTCATAATTTAAAAATAAAAGCATACTTGGCCGCCAGACCTGCCGCCACCTGGGGGAGACTCTATGGCCAGCAGAAGCCCCATGAGCAGTGCTGCTTCCCGACCCACTGGTCTTCAGGAGTTATTACATCAGTGACATCCTGGAGTGTCTGCTCTGTTTTGGAGGGGATATCCTGAATATTACAGGGAACGTGCTCCTGGCACTCTGAACAGTGGAAGAGAATCCACTGGGTGACATCATTACCCTGGTGGCCAAATGGAGGCTTCAGATATAGAAGTAATTTGGGATCTACCATATCAGAGTTAAAGATAGTTCCCTGCAGCTAAAGATAGTTCCCCCACCAAGGACTGACCTCCCCCCAACCTCCACAGTGAAAGCATGGAGTCCCAACCGAAGGACCACCAGAGAATTCCTTATTCTGCATTTTTAAGTAATGTTATATAAGTGGTATCATACAGTATGTATTTGTGGGCTACTTTAATTCAGCATAACTTGCGATTCATCCATGGTCTAGTGTGTATGAGTAGCTCATTCCTTTGCATTGCTGGGTAGTATTGTATTGTATGGATGTAATATCTATTCACTTTTGATCTATAATTGGATTGTTGTCAGTTTTTAGTTATCACAAAGCTGCTATGAACATCTGTGTAAAAAAATAAATTAAAAAATAAATGGATTTTTAACCATGGCAGTGGTTAGGAAATTATCACAATCGATTATGACCAGAGTCTTGAGTTTTAACACCCACACAGGGACAGACCATCAGGTTGTGGGAGCATGGAATTGAAAATGAGACAATAGATATTTCAGCAGAATGACACAAATTAAAAGTATTATTGCCCTGTACCCCGGAGTTAAAGAATATGTGTTCTTAACAAACTAGAGAATATAGCATAAAAGAAGTAAACTCACAGATAAGGAAAGCAAACTGGGGGTTACCAGTGGAGGGGGTGGAGGAGGGGGCAAAACTGGAGGGGGAAAGTAGGAGGTACAAACTAGTAGAAGGTGTAAGATAGACTCAAGGATGTACTGTAAAACACAGGGAATACAGCCAGTGTTTTTTTTAACAACTGTAAATGGGAAATAACCTTTAAAAACTGTATAAAAATTGTAAAATGTTTATGAATAAATAAAACATTTTTAAAAGGAAAATGTATTCTTTTTAAGCTCATATGAGACATTTATAAGAACTGATCGCATATGAGGCTACAAGTAAACTCTCAAGAAAATATCAAAAAGATCAATATAATAAATAATGATCTCTGGTAACAATTTACAGGCTAGAAAGAAATTAAATCTGTAATTAAGTACCTGGAATGTGTAGGAGAGGATATTTCCACTCAATCTATAGAAATCTCTCCCATCCACACTATACACCTTTCTGCACTGACCACCAAAACTTTTGGTATTGAGGACTTGGTTTCTAAACTGGCCCGTTAGTGCATTATAACTGTTAAAAAAAAAAAAATGAAAGAAGAAAAGGCTGTTAAAAACCAGAAATAGCAGTTGCTGAAACATAGTGAACTCTGGATATTCTTGAAACACATTACAGTTAAGCATCTCTGGACGATCTCAAATAAAAGCTTCCTAAAGCACACCATACATTACCACCTCCCCCTGACTGGTATAATGGCTAACACTAATAGATGGGGAAACCCAAGATCCTTTTAGCCTAAGAACAGATCTAGGAAACTCACAGCTCTTTTGTATCTATGGCAACAGCTGGTTTTGAATTGTATCTTTAGATAAAATCAATACAATTAAGATTACTCTTGAGGAGACAGAATGGGCTACAAATGAATTTCAACTAATTGGCCCTTGAACATGCTAACTGGTATACTCTTTGGAGTAATTTTACCACTTTTCTGTTAACAAATTTCACACTTATCAGTCTCAGAGATTATCTTAAAACCTTGGAAACTTAACTTGAGCCTGACCTTTAAAAGTTTTTCAGAATTCTTTTTGAAATGGCAAACAGGATCACTCTAACTTCACTTGAAAGTTCCCAGCTAGCTGAGACAATTTCTTTTCATCCCAAAGGGCCCAGCACACTTTCTCTTTTCTTCCACCGCTCTCATTCTATGGTCTCTGAATTCCCTTAAATAGCCCACATCATTGAATTAGTTCTCCCTATCTCCCTCTTCCATAGGGTGACTCACTGGCCAGGTTTTCCCAGGTCTGAGGGGTTTCCTTGGATGCAGGATTCTCAGTGCTAAACCCAGGACACGCCAGGGACAACTGGTCCTTCTATGCTTTATTGCATACACTTACAGGTGCATATGTAGGAATTTTTTTAATGTTTCAGGATGTGGCAAAGAGTTCTAAGCAAAGGTTGACTATTAGTTGATCTGCTATTAGATTTACCAAACCACAGAATAAAACACAACAAAATGAAAACTACATCCTATAGATCTAGCCCAGCACCTTACCCAAGTCCAGTGAGCTCTATGTTGGGAGGAGGTTTATCACGGTCACAGGCAGGTCTGCTTTCTGCATCCTCGCATCTGTCTTCATCAGCACCGTCCTCTTCACAGTCAGAATCCCCGTTGCAAACCAAAGATGTGCTGATGCACTGACCTGAGCACAAGACAAGCCACCACACAAAAATAAAAGAGGAAAAACGGAAAACACTACCCGGGATCAAAAGGTTTCAGCCTGGGCTCCCAATGTAGTACTGATACTCTAGTGCGAATTTAAGATAAATCCTCACTGCCCAAGGAAGGAATGCCGATTATTTTGGTCCTCATTTTGCAACATGCAAAATTGATGCTGACCTTGCATGAACAATAAAATTGAAAATAGAACCCAAATTCTAATTCCAGGCTCTTATCCACAACCATCAAGCACTTTGGTCTGCATTCTCCAAAATCATACAAGGTCAACCATTGGAAAGACAGATTATTTCCTGCTCTTCAACTTGATTTCTTTTGATTTCTTTTCTGAAGTCACTGACGAAGATGTCGAAGTCCTGCCTTTCTTGGTATTTTAAATATATATGCTTTGAGAGCATGGGGATTCGATTAAAAGACTAAAACTCAACATTTATTTAGCACCTTCTTTGTTCTAGACACTCCTGGGTGTTGGGATGCAAGTGAAAAGGGATTCACCAGGCTTTTCATACACTTTACAATCCAACAGGAAAGAGTGTGAAGATAGAGCATTGCAATTCAGCAGTATAACTGTCATGATAGACACAAGCTGGGAGTAACAGAAGCACGAGAGGAAACACTAGAGGTACCAGATGATCTGGCTCTGCCTCCCTCCCCAGCATCATCTCCAGCCATTCTCTTACCAGCTGCTTATGCCTTAGTCATACCGGATCACTTACATAAATCAAAGGTCAATCTTTTTTGCCATCTCCACTTACTTTGCAGATAGTTTGCTCAACCTCAAAGGTGTTTCTCTACCTCTCGCCTACTTGTCCTTCAAACATCAGATCATATATTATCTTCTCTCAAAAACCACCCCTCCCCCACAAACTGATGTATGTCCTTCATCTGTGTCCTTATAGCAAGCATTGCACAAAACTGTCCTGATAGCCCATCCCACTATGCTGTCATTTGATCCAATGCAACAAACATTTGTTGAGAGTCTACTATGTACTACACACTTCAGATGAAAAAAATAAAAGAAGTAGAATCCACATCTTCAAGGAATTCACAGTCTACCAAGAGATACCCAGGGCAACATATACTTCAGATTACAGATGATACAATGCACAAGGAAAACATGGAAAGTAGTTTGTTAAGTAGCTCTATCAGTTGGGTGTTTAGGAAAGGTTTCCCTAAGGAGGCATCATCTGACCTGGGTTTTGAAATTAAAATAGGAGTTTGAGAGGTATTGTTGAGAAACACTTCTAACACAGGAATTTTTTATGTACTATTCTGCCCATAAAACTAAGAATTTTGAGGGAAGAGGCTGTTTCATTCTACATCCATAACCCTCATTTCTGTATCTGAACATAACAAGAATAATAAATGCTTGCTAGCAATTTTTGAATTACCTGTCTGCACAAATGCAACATAGTGCATGCCTGCTAAGTTGCTTCAATTGTGTCCAACTCTCTGTGACTCTATGGACCATAGTGCACCAGGCTCCTCTGTCCACGGGATTCTCCAGGCAAGAATAATGGAGTGGGTTGCCATGCCCCCTCCTCCAGGGAATCTTTCCAAATCAGGAATTGAACCCATGTCCCCTACATCTCCTGCAGGAGATGCAGGAGGGTTCTTTACCACTAGGGTCTCCTGGGAAGCCCAAGACAAGAGGTCAAATAATATTCAATCCAAAACTACGTTTCAGTCTCCTATGCATAGGGATGACCTGTATCACTCCTTTATTAACTAATTAGAGTTAATTTTCTTGTAAGCATAAAAATAATTTGGGCAGTAATATTGGTTTTGCCTGACTTCAGTCTTTATTCCAGTCTCCTTCTACATCTTAACCAAAAATGCAATGTCAATAACTGTTTGGGTCTGTCAACAGCCATGTTTCTTTTCAAAGAGTATCCCCATCTTTATTATCAGATGCCACCCATGCATTTGAAAGGATGATAGTTGAGAATGAAAATAATATGCCAATAAAAATCCAACCAATTTGGGTGAAAACTGGTATAGGCTAATATAAATGCAGTACAACTCAACAAGTATATACTGAGCAAGATTAACAAATAGCATTTGTTTACCCTCTGCATGCTGAACCTATGAGAAGCAAATACCTGAGAAACACCTGAAACGTTCTCCACATCCCTCTTCTGTTGGACATCCTCGAGTAGGTTTACACGGCTGTGTTTCAAAAGCACTTCCCACACAGGAATGGCCACCATACTGTCCATAAACAGCAACTGATCGCCTGCGAGTCTAAATACAAAACAAATAGATTTCTAGTATCTCCACGTTCCTTTATCTGAGATAAATTAATACACTTGAAGAAATGACATTCATAAAATTTTTCTGGTGTACTACAGAAGTAAAATGTCCAAAATCAATGAATCCAGAAACCCACTTGTCTTTGAGTCTGGTGACACTCGGGTTATTATTTCTAGAGCACTCCCAGTTTATATTTACACTTAGGGTTGAGTGAAAAAATAAAATAGTGAATCTTTAAGAAAGAATTCTGAACAGAACTATAAGCAAATAGATCACAATACAGAATGATTCATTTTTCACCAAAGCAATGTACCAAGGGTTAACTAGAAAAGGTGAAGTGAATTTTGTTGGAGGAAAAGTAAGGGTACTGGAAAGGGGAGCTAAGATGAAGTGGAGTTCGGGAAACCGTTAGAAAAGTGGTGGAAATTGATTTGAGCTGAACCTTAAGCCTTCTTCAGGAAGGCAAAACAGTCCAGAAAGAGATAGATATAGGCTACTATGAAAGTCAAATTTACAAAACAGAAGCCTAAGTGGTCCACAGATGAAGGTACATCTAATGAAACTTCACTGGAAATCCAAAATCACTGATCTATGAAATTAGAAATATATCAAATGCACATGCTGGGGATGGGGGTAAAAATAATTACGGGAAATCACTAAGCCAAATGTGAAAACTAATTCACCTAAACTTCATTTACTCAATATGAAGACATGTATCTAGTGTTTAAACAAAAAGAAAGATTTACAAAATCCTTTTCCTCTCCAAAGGCAATCAAAGGTACATCTTTTAAGCCTCTTATCCATTTATTAATCTTACCCATTAATAAAAATGGGCAAAATCTGAGATCCCAGAAAGTTTAAACCTTGAGCAAAGACCAACAGGGAAGACTATATATATTTATAAACCAAGGTTGAATCTATTCATTCATCCTAACTGAGACGACATGTAAATTGAACTTTGAGCAGGTTTGCACCGGCCTGGGCCTGGTTCTGGCACATTTCATTGCATCTAAGCAGAGACGTCATGGAGGAATGAGTGAGGAATGGAGCTCAGTAGTTTCCCAGTTAAGTTTTTAGTTTCTGTATTTAATTGAAGACATCTCTTATACATGGCTTAGAAATGTGTGCTTTTCTGAAGTTCCAGAGCGTAGATTGTGTTGTTGTGTAAGTAATGTTTTCCTTCTCCACAGACACCAGCATGACCTTGATGGCTGCCTACTCTCAGCGTCTCATTCTCGCCTGTCAAATTCTGATCTCATAACCTTATTTTCATTTTCACTTATCTCCTTCTGGATGAAAATTCTGTTTTTATAATCTGAGCATAATGACCTTCCCTCAAAAAAATTACTCATATGAAGAGCACCTTCTATCTACCTCTATTTAATGTTCTTTCTTAACTTGTTTTTAAATTCTAAAAATGTTTTCTGAGGTTGGTGTTTGTTTGAATTTTATCTTGTTATTCATGCACCTGTTTGCCTGTAATCAGAGTTGTCATCTATTGTATTTGCCAGAAGCCAAATTCTACACTTGTGTAATTTATTTTGTAAATACCCCTCATGTAGATACTAAATAAATGCTTGAAAATTGTGATAATGATGATGCTTCCAAACATAAATTATCTTCTATAATATGGTTCTTTTAGTACTTCTAAATGATTTTTAAACACACATTTTTATCTAAACTGAACTACTTTTAAAATGCTTTATGAATATCAAATCATGTTGTATACTTGAAATTAATGTTATATGTCACTGTATCTCAATAAAAAAAATTAGCCATTCAAATGTTCAGAACCTTTGAAACAGCATTATATGTTTTTAATTTACCCTAAAGGAGATCAGTCCTGGGTATTCATTGGAAGGACTGATGCTGAAGCTAAAACTCCAATACTTTGGCCACCTCATGAGAAGAGTTGACTCATTGGAAAAGACCCTGATGCTGGGAGGGATTGGGGGCAGGAGGAGAAGGGGACGACGGAGGATGAGATGGCTGGATGGCATCACCGACTCGATGGACATGAGTTTGAGTAAACTCCAGGAGTTGGTGATGGACAGGGAGGCCTGGCGTGCTGCGATTCATGAGGTCGCAAAGAGTCGGACACAACTGAACAACTGAACTGAACTGAACTGAAGATGGTTATCAGAAGAAAAGACATATCTATATATAAAAATGCTCATTAATGTTTCATTCATAATCACAAAATATGTAAGTAAACTAAATCTCAAACAATAAGAAAATGGATAAGGAAGATTTGTATATTCATATAATGGAACATAATACAGCTGTTAAAATGTGTGCTGATAGCATAATATTAAGTTAAAATAGTAGAATACAAAATCATGAACAAATGATCCTATCTTAAAAATCACTAGCACACGGAAAGAATAAATTGAAAGAATAAATATTAAAATGCTAGTATATTGGTTTCTTCTAAATGGTGAAATTATGAGTAGCATTTTCTTTATACTCTTCTATGTTCTCTCCAATGAATAATTTATAATAAGGAAACAGTAGACATTTTAGGGGTGCTCTCTAAGCTCCAAGTCAAGTCAGATTTTTTATTTTTATTACTTTTGTATTAAACTTTAAAACATTGAAAAATGTTTGACTTTCCATGGTCATTCACTATTTGTTAGGTTAAATGAAGCAATGATTTTGCTACTCTTAGTGTTTGTTTCAAATGAAAAGTTGGATCCAGGAAATATGAAATTTTGAATTATTTACTGACTTCATTTCAAGCTATTCTATTTCTCTGATAATGAAAGAATAAGTGAGTAGCTTTTAGCTTCTCTCCCATGTATATTTCTAGGCTCAAATGTATTTAGAAAAGTCCTTCAAGAAAAATGAGAATGCAAAAAAACTCTACTACAGTATTAATTATTAAATAAATCATACTTTTCCCCTTCAGAATTACTAATTACACTTTCAAAAACCATAAAAAGTAACATTCAAAAGCTAATGTCATTTTGTTCATACCTAAGCTATTTTGGCATATGAATAAAAAATATTAAGTTTTCACATGATCCTACCTGAGTCTTGGTACAACCATTGCATTCTGACCAAGGAGCATAGGAACCCCACTGGCAGTTGATTGGCAAGGAGGCACTGTCATAGTGTTGAATTGTCCATTATAAAGCCGACAGAAAGGTAAGACAGAAGACATAAACAATAGTCAATAGTCAAAAGCAGTCAAAAATTGTGAAGCAATTTTTGCTTCACCACAAGGATCTCAAAATACATTAAAAAATATATAGGAGGGGCTCACTTTTTCAGAGATTTATTAAATATCATTTATAAGATATCTAGAATGTTCCAGGCACGATTTAGACCCTAGAGCTATAGACATAAAAAAGATAGGATAGGACATCCCTGATGGTACAGTGGATAAGAACCCACCTGTCCGTGCAGGGGAAGCAGGTTCCACTGCTGGTCAGGGAAGATTCCATTTGCCTCTGAGCAACTAAGCCTGCAAGGGGAAACTACTGAGCCCGCAAGCCAAAACTAACTGAGCCCGAGTGCTGCAGCTGCTGAAGCCTGAGCGCCCAGAGCCTGTGCTCTGAAACAAGAGAAGCCACTGGAATGAGAAGTCTAAGCACGCCAACAAAGAGCAGCTCCTGCTCACCACCAGAGAAAGCCTGTGTGCATCAGTGAAGACCCAGACAGACAAAAATAAAATAAATAAATAAACAATGCTTTAAAATGAGATCGGATACTGACCATTGATAGAGGAACGGAAGAAGACACAGACGTGTAAACAAATAATTATAACACAGTAATATGATCACAATGTGACTGTGACCAGCACGTTCTCAGTCGCTAAGTCAAGTCCCACTCTGCGACCTCATGGACCACAGCCTGCCAGGCTTCTCTGTCCATGGGATTTCTCAGGCAGGAATACTGGAGTGGGTTACCATTTCCTTCTCCAGGGAATCTCCCCAACCCAGGGATCGAACCCGGTCTCCTGCCTTGACAGACAGATTCTTTACCACAGAGCCACCAGGTAAGCCCCATGATCACAATACAATATGGCTAATTAGATAAACTTACTAACAGAATTGTGCACATTATGATGTGTTATGGAAATACAGATAAGAGTGTCCAGAGGAGGGGTATAAGTGAGAACATATGGAAGGAAGGTGTTACAGCCTTTAAGTGATTCTGGATGATGAAGAGTTATACAGAAATTTAACTGAGAGACAATAAGCTGTAAAATGACCACATGAGAGGTAGGAATCCAAAATCTGGCAAAGGCTAGATGGATGAGAACTTAGTTTTACACGCTCCGCCTGCTTATTGAGGCCACTTACTCAAGCACACACCCAAGTACAACAGGGGCAAGGTGAGCTCAAATAATTCCACTCAGATAAAATACACGTGGAAAATGGTGAGCTGACTCTTTCACAATGCTTACAATGCAGAAAATCTTGAGGGGTTTTTAATCATTAGGTTTCTTCCTCACAAGGAATAAAATAAAGTAAGAATAAGAATAAAACATGCTTATTATATCATTGTCTTTTCTGAAAATGTGGAAAGAAACAAAACGTGTGAGGGAAAAACATGCTCACACTGCAATGTAAAAATCAGACCATAGTTTCCTCAAAATAAAAGAAATAACTGTTCATGATTTCCACACACAATCCAAAAAAATTCTCACCTTGAAAAAACTTGAAACTCTCCTATAAATCCCACCAAGAAGAATAAACTTATTGCCTAGGAGGGAAAAAAAAACAATAAAGCAATATTTGAGCTTGCATTGCTTTAATGAGTCAAAAGTGAATACATTTGTACAAATCAAGATTTGTGAGTTGGGAATAAAAAGAGTGAAAGAATCATGGAGAAGCCTCAATGATTCTGCTCATCTTACAATTTTTCATCTTAAATAAAAGTTTAATATAATTATCTTGAGCTCACCTCCCACTGTTCATTTCTATAAAAACTACTAAGCACTAGATGATGTCATAGACAAATCGAAAAGACTCCCTAAAAGTTAAATATTAACAAACATTTTTCTAGGGTTCCATAATTTTGTATTCCTTAATCCACTCTCCTCTCTAAATTTGGTACCATGAGAATGCTGGAGCAAAAAAAGCCTAGAAATAGCAATTCAAAGGGTTGAGGAGGTAAAAGGGAATCAGTTTCCTAAATGGAAAAATCAAAAGTGGAGGTGCATCACTAGCCAGAGGAACCAAGATGCTCACCACAGTCCCTAGTTCTATAGGTAGTACGCAAACATGACAGAGGCCTTTTATAATCATCTTTATGTGACAGGGCAGCCTAAATAATGGGCATCAGACAGGCTACAAAATTGTATGCAAAATGTAATTACATTTCATTTTGAAAATCAAATGTGTCTTGAAAACAAATCTAGAAAGAAACATAACAAAGGAAAATAATTCCCGGTTGTGAAATTATAGGTGACTTTCATTACCTCATTTTTACTTTTATGTATTTTCCTACTTTGACAACTGAAAGTGTAAGGGAATACAATTTAAATTTGTACTAGAGACTCTAAGAATATTAAATGCATTCAGTTCATAACCTCACATGTGCTGTCTGGTGCTCTGTTGCTTCGGTTGTGTCCAACTCTTTGTGACCCAATGGACTGTAGTCAGCCCAGGCTCCTCTGTCCATGGGATTCTCCAGGCAAGAACACTGGAATGGGCTGCCACGCCCTCCTCCAGGGGATCGTCCCAACCCAAGGATCAAACCAACGTCTCCTGCATTGCAGGCGGATTCTTTACCCTTGAGCCACTGGGGAGGTCCATATCCTGGGATAAAAGTCCTTAAATCATCTCACCTCACATTTTCACAGGCCAGTATTCTTTCTCTTCTCTTGACCTCTCCAAACCTCTTTTCTCTCAGTAGCTATGGAATGGCTTCTCAGCATTTCTTCTAGACCTTCCCACTCACCTTCTTAAATCACTCATCCTCTTTTTAGGTATCTTCCCTTCAGTTATAAAATCCTAGTTGCCTACTTCTGCCTTTTATAGTTCTACAAACTCGCTTTCACTTTTCACTTTTATGCATTGGAGAAGGAAATGGCAACCCACTCCAGTGTTCTTGCCTGGAGAATCCCAGGGGTCGCACAGAGTCGGACACGACTGAAGTGACTTAGCAGTAGTAAAACTTCAGCAGTAGTAAAACTTTTAGTTTATATTCTGATTAGCATAACCAGAAAGGTTGAGAAGTAACATAGCCGAGAGCACCCCAGAAATGTGAGCAATGGTGGGAGAGGCTATAGACACTTTTCTGATTTTTCAACAAATATGTGAAGCACATAATGTAAAGCAACACCTTTAAAAGGTTCTTTTGTTTTTAATTTCAAACTGTACCTTTTTTTTCTTTTTCAACACTACATCTTCACTTGTGCTGTCAAATCATTTTTCCTGCCCTTGGGCAAGTCTATCTCACAACTTTATTAGTCACTCCGAGTCCCTAATAGGGGCTTCCCAGGTGGTTCAGACAGCAAAGAATCTGCCTGCAATGCAGGAGATCCAGGTATGGTCTCTGAATCAGGAAGGTCCCCTGGAGAAGGGAATGGCTACCCACTCCAGTATTCTTGCCTGGAGAATTCCATGGACAGAGGAGCCTGGTGGGGTAGCAAAGAGTCAGACACAACCAAGCAACCAACACTTTCAGTCTTTAATGTTGTCACATTTTCATAAAATAAAAATTCTGAAACAATCTAATAGTAAAATTTCAATTTATCATTCAATTTTAAATTTCTCTCCTATTCCCCAGTTCCTATGGGAGGGGTGGCATACACTTCAAAATACCTCCTTTTTATTCTCCTGCTTTATTCTCCTGCTTCCCTTCCCCAGGATGCCTCTGTCTTCCTCAGAGTCAGAGCAGCAAGAGTGAAAGGGCAAGAGCAAAAAGGATCTTGTTCAATCAATGCAGCTGAGGTCTGGTGATGGTAAATCAGACTGTGTTGGATGTTTGAATGCCAGTTGTCTATCCCTCACAGTGTTTTCATCATTCTTTGAATATCACTCCTTTGGACATCTACAACCACTGTCCTCTGCCACAAATGATTCATCCCTTTGTTCACCTCTCTTGTCTCTCACCGGTGTCTGCTTACTGATGCTACCTATTGAGGTTCCTTCATCCTGCAAGTGTCTCTCAGGGAGCCCCTGACATCCCAAGCCAAGCCCTTCTCCAAAAATCCACATCTGATCCATGGGATACCTGCACACCTTCTTGTCCTGGCTGGATGTGGCTGACACTGCTATGTTGCCTTTGCTAAATGCAGGGCAGTCAATCAGTCTGTTCCTTTAGATTTTCTCAAATGTGAGTAGGGTGTACGCCCCCATCCTCCAATGGACATAAACTTGCCTACTCTTGAGGATGGAGATGGCCAAAGGGTCACCAAACAAATTTAGGGCTACTTTTTGGTAACATTGCATTGTATGTGCAATATTTCACTTTAAAATGTGAGGCTACTTAACACCTCTTATTCTTGGCCTTTGACTCTCAGCCAAAACAGGCATCATGAAAAAAAATCCATCTTAACATTCTACCACATATTTTTTTAATGTCAATGAAGTTTTAGGGTATTCACTCTCATCAGAACTAGTTTTGCCACTGTATTCCACATGTGCTGTGTGCTCAGTCATGTTCAACTCTTTGTAACCCCATGGATTGCAGCCCACCAGGCTCCTCTGTCTATGGGGATTCTCCAGGCAAGAATACTGGAGTGGGTTGCCATGCCCTCCTCCAGGGGATCTTCCCAGCCCAGAGATCAAACCCAGTTCCCCCACATTGAAGGCAGATTCTTTACCAACTGAACCACAGGGAAACCCATTTCCTCATATACATAGTATAACCCATGAAGATCTGCTTATCACTAGTTCATGAGTTAGACAAGCTGAACCTCTTAACCAAAAGAATTTCTTGAAAATTGGCCACCTGGGTATCTGAAAATGAAGCAGTTATCATTCCTTACCTTTGGAAAGAGTATCTCATCAAATGGACATGATAAGACAATTACAAATTAATAAGCAAATTAATGACAGAAATAGACATACATCTGAGTTAACTCTGTAATAGAATTCCTTAGTTGAAAAGATACAGGACTTTCCTGGTGGTCCAGTGGTTAAGAATCCGACTGCCAAAGCAGGGTACATGAGTTCGATCCCTGCTCTGGGAAAATCCCACCTGCTAAAGGGCAGTTAAGCTGGTGCACCACAACTAGAGAAAGCCCTCATGCAGCAACGAAGACCCAGCACAGCTATAAATAAATAAATAAAATTTGAAAACAAAAAAAGATATGGTATCTTGGCAGTGTGTAATATAGCTAAGCTGGAGCCACATTTCCCAGAGTTCTCTTCTCTTCTTCTTTATGACTGAATAAGCATTAGCTCTGCCTCCTTCCTCTAACATTTTCCAGCTACAACCACTGCCTCTATGCTTTTAATTTCTCCACATCTGGCCTTTTACATTTGTCTGTTGAACCATGAGCCCATTTAGGGTAAAAATAAAACACTAATTTCTATAGCATACACCGGGTTCCAAATTCCAGAGGAAAAAATGATGGAAAAATTCAATCTAATTTCTTAGCATACCCTAATTAATATGTTGATCAGTAAATTTAGAACATAGGGCACCATACAGATGAAGAAGGAGGTAGATTTTAAAATAAATCTTCTCGCATCTTTATTAGAAATGAACATCAATTTGTAACACTAGCAATAAAGAAATGCAAAATGACATAATAATATGATTGAGTACTTAGTATCCATTTGAAGCATGTTATAGCTTGATCAATGACAGGAGAACATGCTTATGATATAATGAGTAAAAAGATTCAGATCTATATTGATAAAAATGTCATAAAATATATCCTATACATATTCATTTTAAAGTCTGAAAAGAAATAGATTAAAATGTTAACAATGGCTATCTCCGAGTGGAGAAATAATAGATATTATCTCCTTTTTGAACTTAATTACCAAGATGGTAGTACTATAATCTGGAAAAGGACATTTTTAAAAGACACAAAGACCATCACAGTATAATTGGTAGAAGATGGGTGATAATGTCAGGTCAGCTCTGGCTGTGGTGAGGGAGCAGAGAGACTGTCATCTGAGACGTCATTGTGCTTGACCACATCCCAGCCCCATGAGAATCACACTTCAGGTTTACAAACCCCAGGTTCATCTCAGCCCAGGGATGAAAAAGTGAAGGTCTGTGCCACAGTCAGATCAAAGGGAAATCCTTATTGCTCTAAAGTCCCGAAACACTTCAGAACCAATTATATCATATCCAAGGGATACAAAGAGTACCAGTGGAATTCTGGGACCACCCCTCTGAATTCAGTTCACACGAATGGGGGAAGAGACAAAAGAATATACCTCCTTAAAGGCCAGACTTGGAAACATAGTGTATCACAAAAGCATACCCTTCAGATTTACTGTAAAAATATGAGTTTCTGCTTTCAAACATAGGTGAGAACTCTGAATGCAGCTCACCGAGAAATCATTTATTTGTTGATATTTTATCAACCAACTGAAAGATAAAAGTATATATATTACCCTGTTAGAAAAATATCATAATAATCAATGACTGTGAACCCGTCTTTAAACATTAAACAATTATCAAGATGTCTCATCATAAAATAAGTAAGGAAATTGTTTGATAGTTAATACAAATATTAGGAGAAAGTATACTAGCTAGATGACTCTAGGAAAGGCATCCTATTCTAAGTGAGCAAGTGTCCTAAATTTTTTAATAAAAATACAAAACACACTGATAGAGATTAGATTATATCATAATTCTAACTTTGTATGGTTACTTGGCACTCTAGCATTATAACATTTGACAAATTAACTTTGTGATTTGTGTTTAATTTTCAATGACTTAATTAAATGCAGTTTCACACATAAAATACTCAAGACCCATGTTTCAGTCCTCCTCCATCCCCCTGGAAAGTGAGCACAGATTTCAGTATTGTAGTTAGGTAGCATAGTGACAGCAAAGGCAATCTAGCAGCTGACAGGGCTGAAAAATTACTGCTCCAGCATTATAATGTAAAATTTTTAAAGTTTAAATATAAAACTTCACAATAATAAAATTGCAGTAGCAGGTTCAACTTATGTTTACATCCCAGAAACATAGTTTGTGATAGTTACATCTATCTTTGGTCCTAGATTTTTTTTTCTTAACATTCAGCCATACTGCATTAGGCCAATATGTGTTTTTGGTAACTCTTTAGCTTCATTCCATTTATCTGTATCTTCTGCTCTTAAAATCCTGATCCTTTCATCCAGATTCCAAATTCTAAAGTTCCAAGTTTCCAACTTCACTCTTCTATAAAGCTGTTAGATAAGTCAAATCACAGGGATTCGTTGCATGACTCCAATTCAAACAAACAAAATACATTGGAGGAAATTTTTCCCTAAGAAATAACAGTTGTGTTATTGTATTTCTTAATGGCTTTCTTGGGACTTTCATAAACACAGCTTCCAATTTCCGATTCCCAGACCTCTAAACCAATAAACTAAACTACAAGAAAAGAAAAAGAAATTCACTTCAGCTGAATTGTTAAATATATTTAATTAAGGATTTCTTAAAAGTCACCCTCAGAACTTTCTCTTTTCTATTTTCTCATGTCTTTTCTTTTTTTTTTTTAATTTGTTACTTAAGTGAAACCTTACTCCCTGTAGAGTTAGCTCTGTTCACAAAAGTAATGAAGTTATTATCTTACCTTCATGTTTGGAAAAACATTCAGGGCAGCAGAGAGAAGGAAAATGTCCTCCTCCAGTGCCCAGTGAATTTTCAACAGCGGGAAGAGGCCAGCAGTCTACTCCCCGCCTGTCTCTGTCTGCTGGGGATTCATTTGACATTCATATATAGAGCGAGCAGTTCCGAGACTTTGCTCCGACCCCAACCGGGTTCTCTGGGGACACTGAGAACCTGGCCTTGTACTGAGTCTGTGTCTTGAAGCCAGATGCATCTTATCAATTTGCACAGGCCTTAGCTACAGTCAGCTGGGACTGTTTGGAAGCTTAGTTCTGAGGAAACATCTGTAAATCAAGAAAAACAGAAAATATTCTCACTTCAATGTTTAAGTGGTTTTCAACCAAAGGAGACTCTGTGTAAGGCAAGGAATAAGCGTCCTTCCTGTTTCAATTTATCACACAAAGCAGATGTTTTCATGATTCTCTAAAAGGGGGTTATACAGCAGAATTTGAGATTAGACACTGTGTTAGAAAAAACTTACATGCCATTCTGTCACTCAAAATGGAAATGGAAATTCTGGAATGGAATCCTCTGTGTGTGTGTGTGTGTGTGGCCTAACACAATATAATATACATTTCTTCATGTGAAGAATGATCAAAAAGAGCATTGTGTTTTGCAAACATATTTAAAGGCATCACTAATTACTCCCAAGAATTTCCCTTAACCCTATGATGTTCAGATCACTCCTTTGGAAAGTTCTTGTCACAGTCATCATTTATGTCTACTTTATCTTCTTCAGTTGTCTTGTCTTATTGTACCAGATCCTCACTTTCCATGGCTTTGCATTGATTCTAGCAGTTCTCCAACATCATTTTCACAGATTTCACAAAAGGCTGCATTTTCGCAAGATTTCAGATTTTCTCTTCAAGTTGAGCTACAGTTTTATTTGCATGATTTAGCCAAATATTCTGATGCTTGCTGTTAGGACATCATAGGGAGAAGAGACATAAGCATGAAGTGGGAAAGGAAATTTGAATTTAGAGTAATTTTATAATTAAATATCCCTTTAGTGACTATTTTCCAGTTTTAATATTTTTTCTTTTTATATCCAACATGTTTGAATAATAAACGACCCCCCCCCACACTCTCCTTTTATAAATTAATGGTGGTCTTCGAGAGACAAAACTTTCCCATCTTTTGTTCAAGCCATTAGTGATTTGTGTGGAAAAAAATTTCTGCCACAGAGAAGAGGATGATGATTCCTGAAAGATCTTTTTTTAATTCAGCTCCAAGTGCATGAATTCCAAATGTTGTGGACTCTCCTTAAGCATGCAATGTACATTTCCAAGTTCAGTGGCTGTCTTAGCTTGAGTTTTGCAGGTATTTGCAGAATATCAACAGCACCTGCCAAAGTAGTTTTTCCATTTATTCATACATGCATTCATTCATTTGTTTATTCTAAATTCAACAAATATTTACAAAGGCTGCATAATACAGGCTAGGGGCTTTGACAGATGGAAGCCTTGAGTAACATCCTTCTTTATCTTCATAGCATATCCTTAGTACAGAGGATGAGTCATAAATACAAATGTATCTGCAATAATCTAGAATTTGCATTGTTCAGTTTCCAGACAACGTATTGCAGAAATTAAATGTAAAAACTTTACAAAAACTTCTTCTCACCAAGGGCTTTGCGCTTGCCCATTTCCACAGCTTTGCTGTCATACGAACAGTGTTTTTTCTTTCTAGAGTTTCAGTGGCGAGCCATTGGAACAAAAGTTTCAAGTATAGGTGGAAGCCACACTGTGGGAAATTTGATTACCAGCAAAAGTTGTATGGACTTTATTCAAAGAATAATGGGAACTCACCCTTTGGAAGTTTTAAGAAAAGAATAAAAGTGATGTTTTAGGATGATTTAAACACTGGTAGTGTGCAGGCTACATGGAAAGTATAAGCAGGAGAAGCAGAAAGTGTGATTTCGAATTTATTTCAGTAATCAGACAAGGGGCAATCGAGGCCTCTTTTGAGAAGAGAAAGACAAAGGACCAGAGGTTTCACAGGGCTTAGTGATTGAAAGTAACCTTGTGTCTGATTGACTGAGAAAACTGGAAGAATTTAAGAACAAATTAATGAAAAAGGGAAATAGGAAATTGAAGAGAAAAAAGTGGTTTTAGAAAAAGGACATTTTTTTTTTTTAATTTTGGAGAAAGTATGCAACACAGAACTGGGAATGTAGATGTCTTTGGGAAAAAAGTATCTTGACAGAGGGTACATAACTAAAGTCATAGGAAACTCATTACAATGAAGAATAAAACAACAAAAAATGCCCCTATTCTGGAGCAAGAAGAAGGAGAAAAGCCAAAACAGGAGGGAGAGAGGTTACAGAAGGAGAAGGAAAACCAAACAATTCATTGTCAAGTTGAGGGTGATTTCAAGGTCAGGCCAGTCAATGAAGACAAGTGCCATATGGAGGTCAAAGAGAAGGAGTATTAAGGGAAGACCACACTGCTCAGCAATTAAAACATAAGGGAAACTGGATAAACTGAAGGTAGAGTTTCCCCACACATTTTACCCCCTAGTGCTACAAAACACGTTCACAAAAAATAATTTTGCAGCTGAATGTAACAAGCTGTGTATATTATGGGCTTCCCAGGTGGCACTAGTGGTAAAGAAACCACCTGCCAATGCAGATTAGATATAAGAGATGTGGGTTCCATCCCTGGGTAGAGATTCCCTGGATTAAGGAATGGCAACCCACTCCGGTATTCTTGCCTGGAGAATTCCATGGACAGAGGAGCCTGGCAGTCTGCAGTCCATAGAGTCACACAGAGTCAGACACGACTAAAGCAACTTATCAGTCACGTGTCTATTATAGAGCACGGCTTCTCAATCTCTGAATTGCTGACCTTTGGAGCTTGATCATTCTTTGTTGGTAGAGGGAGGTGAGGGATCTGTCTTGTGCATTGGAAGACAACAGCTAACCTGGTCTCTTCCCACTCAATGGTCATTAACACCCTTCCCCAGTCATGACAATCAAAAATGTCTCCAGGCAATGTCAGATGTCCCCAGGAGGCAAAACCATGACCCTCCACTGAGAACCACTGTTAGTGTCTACCCCTAGCAAATGCTCGGCCCTAGATTCACAAAGTGCCATGCCCAGGGTAATGTCAATTAAGTATTCTGAAAGTCTGACACCAAGTAAAACTTGATAAAACTTTTTCAAACTAGAATTTCCCAAATTCATGTGACCACAGAACATGTATTTCTAACAACACTCATAGCTGGTAAATGTGACAGGCTTTGGCAAAATTGTGTCTGAGCCAACACTGAATTGATAGAAGGGAAAGCAGATTTTTGCCAGACTATGGAAGAGTCTGCAAGTCACACTTGCAGACATTTCTCCCCTTCTCCTGCTAAACACAGGAGTTAGCTTGTGTTCTGTCCCCCACTAGCCCCCAGTTTCTGAGGTGGCACTTTAAAATCTGTTATTATCCCCAAACCCTCATGAAACTATTAATATTAGACCACTGATGATATCAAGAAGCGGTTCTGCTCCATCTCAGAGAGATACTGGGGAAAACATTTTAAAAAGCGTGTTTCATTTACTAGCCATTTTGTTTTGTTCTGTATTGTTTCAACAGATTCCACTTACTCTGGAGAACAAACTCATTGTGGAAGAATAAAGCCTCCTTTTTTTCTGTTAAGCCTGATAAGGTCAGAATGGAAATTGCCAGAGGTGGGCATAAAGAAGCAACAGCATCCCCTAGTGGCAAGCATGCTCCAGTCCCTGGAGTTGAACAATAACATTAGGCTCCGGAGTTAAACCATTCACAGGGAATGAAAAACTGAATCTTCTTAGGCTCTAAGTCACGGGCTAGTGAAGCCTAATAAGTACTCCTAATAGGAACCTAATAAAATCTAATAAAGCCTAATAAAATCTCTTTTTCCATTACAGTTTCACTATGTGAATACTCTGAGAATGGAAAATGATTGCTAGTTAATGCCCTAGCTAAAGGAGGATTTCAGCAAAATATTTACTGTTAAATGCTTTATCATTACACCTAAATACTGTGATTTGTTCATAAAGGTGAGGTCACTAGGTAATCTCCTCTGTTGGTATCAAGTCCTTCATAAGGATGTTAAGGTTTAAGTAGATTAAGAGTACGAACAGGGCTTCACACCTCCCTTTTGGAAGAGAGGTTCTGATTCTACAACACTGGACACATCTTTGCTCTGGTGGTCCCAAAGACTGCAAATGGCCAGGATCAAAATAACAGTCAGGAGGTGATAAGACATTTTGTCATGATGGTTTTCAGCGCTTGCTGAATTTAGAAGAGGACCTGTATTTCTCTGACTTCTAGTAGTCATCTGGGGTTTTCAGTTCTCTGCAGTACGTGGCAAGAGCCTGCAAGTCTAAAAAACATTTCATTCGGTTTAAATTTGAATTAAATCAAACAGCGCTAAGAAAGATGATATGAAATGCAAAGATCTCCGTGATCAACAGCTAATACAGCTGCTAATATCACAAAAGACAAATTTGGCAGGAGGTGCCTCCTAATGAAGGAATATACCACCACCGTCCGTCCGTGTTCCTGCCGAAGGGACCAAACCTGAATTTGATCAAGCCTCTCAACGAGTTTGCAGAAAGCTCTGATGATAGAGAAGCAGGCAAAACAGCACCACAATATGCAAACAGCAACATGCAGACTAGAAGAAACTACAAGTCAAACACCCAGGACCCAGAGACCATTTGAGTTTCCTGAGCCATACAGCAACTGTATCAACCTAGAGAGGTAGGATGAGAAGGGAGACGGGAGGGAGTTTCAATCATGTTGAGATCTGACAGAAAACAGCAAAATTCTGTAAAGCAATTATCCTTCAATAAAAAATAAATTAATTTTTAAAAAACACCCAGAACCTTTAACAGATTCTGAATCGTACAATGCAGGAAGAATGAGACTAAATCATGTCTCATCCCATGTCCAGGGATGCCCTTTAAGTGATAAAGCTATAGAGAAATGCAGGTGAGAT